TCAGCGATACTTCAGAGCCATCTTAATGCTCAGTGCTGGGGAGAACACGAGACTCGCGCATTCACACAGCATCAGCGGCCAAGTGAACTGCGCGTTTTCCTTCCCCGGTGGGAGCAGCCAGCTCGGCTTTGCGGGTGGCTGCGTGGCTCCTCTCCGGGCACCCGCAGAGCTCGCTCTGCCTCGCTCACCCCTGACCTGGTGCCTTCGGCATGCCGGCTCCCTGGGTTCATTCCACGCCACACAGGTGACTCGGGCTTATGGTGGACCTGGGGATTTCCCCTAGGAGGGCCCACTTTGGAGAGCTGCTGGTGGATCTTCTTGTGGGGGCCATGAAGCTTAGATTTCCTGGCTGCAGCCAAGCTAAAGTCACCTGGCACTTCTACAGATCTTTATGAATGCTTGGCTCTTAGAAGCACAAAGCAAGGCGGAGTGGCCTGCGGCGAGCTGGTGGCAGCTCACTGCACTGTGAGCTGGTGCCCACAGAGTTACCGCGCAGCCACTTGCGGAGCCCAGTAGGTCACTCCCACAGCAGGAAAGAAGATTCTAGGGCCAGCCTCCTACACGGGCCTTGGACCCACCCCAGGGGTGGGGACAACCACAGCCGAGAACGTCAGCCGGAGGAGCCGGGCTTGCTGTGCGAACTCAGCAGCTCAGCAGTGCCCAGTGTAACCTCAGCACCCCCTCCCAAAACCCGCCCACCCCCCAGCGCATGCTGACAGAGAGCGGAGGCTAAATAGGCCACAACCCGGAGTCCTCCGCACAGCCTCAAACCCCGGCTCGGGCCCTGTGCGGGCAGGGAGCAAATCCCACCTGTGTCTCTTTCCCCTGACCAAAGCAAGGCTCCTCCATCCCAGGTGGAGGTCCACACCAGCTGGGGTCACCTTCCTGCAGCCCTGTTCTGCTCGTCCCCCCAGACAGCAGGAGAAAGCGCAGAAAATGCACAAGGGGATGGACGCCCTGGGAATTTAATGCCCAGAACCACCCATGCGTCAACAAGGAAATTAGAAGGGAAACTGAAATATATCTTGAAAAAAAGTATCTTGAGATAAATGAAAATGTAAACACGCAAACCAAATTTATGAGATGCACCAAAGCAATAGAGAGATTACAGCAACAAAGAGCAACACCAAAAAAGAAGAAAGATCTCGATAAACAATTCGATCTTGTATGTCAAAGAAAGAGAAACTAAGCCCAGAGCAGCAAGAGGAGAAACTAACCAAGACCAAGAAGTAACTGAGACAAGGATGAGAGAAACAAGTTTGTTTGTTTGTTTTTGGCTTTTGAGACAGGGTCTCACTATGCAGTGCGGGCTGGCCTTGAATTCACGCTGCGGCCCAGGATGGCTCAGACTCACAGCGATCCTCCTGCCTCGGCCTCCCGAGTGCTGGGATTACAGGTGTGTGCCACTCTGCCTGGCTCAGAAACAATTTTTAAATTTATCAATGAAATGAAGAGTTGATTTTTTAAAAAGCTAAATAAAATAGACATCCTTAGCAGGACTGAGAAAAAAATGAGAGAACTCAAATTTCTAAAAAATCAGAAATTAGAGACAGTTTAAGAAATAAAATCAGAGATGAAAGAAGATATATTACAGAAATACAATTGTATGCCAAAATACTGAATGACCTACAAGAAACGGGTATGTTTCTTGGCACCCGCCATGTATCATAACCGAATCATTAAGAAAAAGAAACAAGCAGACCTAGAGTCCATCAGTAACAAACTGAATTAGTCACAAAAGTCTCCCACCAACAAAATCCCCAGGGCCCGATGGTGTCTGCTAAATCCTACCAAACATTTAAAACAGAAATTTTATTTGTCCCCCTTGTACTTAACTTAGCATCAATATAGAAACTTTATGGCAAGTATTTAGCGATTAATTTGAGGCAAGAGGCCTCACTAGGTTGATGTTTTAGTGTCCTTTTTTATTAGTGTGTATTTACTATGCGTAATTTTACGCTCGCGGGGGAACTGCACGGTTAGCCCTGGACCGTCCCCATTTGCTGCGTCTGCCCGCTCTCCCTCCCGCCTCCCTCACTCCGAGGCCCCGTCCCCACACAGTCTACTTCTGCTTCCTTTACTATTTTGCTTTTAAAAAAACTATTCGTACTTTGGGTTTCGCATGAAAAAGCAACCACATAATATTTAACCTGCTCTGTCTGATCCACTTCACTTAGCACCATGGTCCCAAAACGCATCCATTCTCCTCTAGAAACATTTTAAAAACTAATACCAATCCTTCCCAAACGCTTCCAAAAATTTGAGGCAAGGGGAATACTTCTAAACTCTTCATAAAGCCAGAATTAGCCAGCACCAAAGCTGGACGAAGACAAACAAGAAAACTGCACACCCGGACCCTTGCTGAACACAGGAGCCAAGATACTCAACAAAATACCAGCAAGCTCAACTCAGCGGCGCACGGAAAGGCCCAACGAAGTTTATCCTCATGATGCAAAATTAACACCACTAATCAGCAGCATGTCTGTACACTAACAGTGAATCTCCTACCCCCAAAAAGAAGTCAGCTGAATAACCCCATTTACAATACCTACCACAGATAACAAGGTCAAGAAGCATGAGCTTAACCAAGAGGATGAAAGCTGTAAAATATCAGTGAGAGAAAGGGAAGAAGGCCAGGCCTGGTGGCCCATGCTTGTGACCCCAAAGCTTGGGAGGCTGAAGCAGGAGGATTGCCATGAGTCTGAGGCCAGCTTAAACTATTTAGCAAAACCTTACCTTGAAAAAGAAAAAGAAGCAAAGAAAGAAATTATAAGAACACACAAACAAAGGGAAGACATCCCGTGTTCACAGACTGGAACTGTTAATAGTGTTTAAAAATCCATCCTACCAAAACCGGGTAACACGCTCAATGCCTTCTCTATCAAAATTCCAGTGTCAGTGGGCAGCAGTGGGACACGCCCATAATCCCAGTTACTGCGGAAGCTGACAAACCAGGAGGATCACAAAATGTATCCAGAATACTTGAGGAGCCCGTCAACACCAAAGAGTTGAGGTCTTGGAGCGTTTGAGAATCTGGGCTTTGAACGGGGGACGCTGCCCCTGCAGTGGGTGATTCTCACCCTCGACGTCTGTCCTGTCGTCTCTGATGTCCTGTTCCTCTAGGAATTCTGGGTGAGCAACAGAACGGGACTCAGCAACCCCGTGTCCCTGGTCACCCTGGCCCAGAGCCACCCAGCCTTCCGGCCCATTCTATTCACCACCCCACTAAAAGCCACGCTGGCCCGGAGTTGTCGGTTATTTATTTCTGCACTTTTAGCACCTACCGCAGTGCCCAGCAGAAAAAGGCCCTCAGTTAGCTGGATGAAACTCTGTGTAGCCGCTAAAAGGATCTTTTCACAGACTGAAGTCGCTGTGAAAAATGCCAAGCCCTGATGACAAACATGTAAAATAATATCTGCATGTGGATACAAAACAGAAGGGGAACAATAAACACTGTTAGATAAGGCGAAAGAGGATGACCTCACAGTGGAGGCACACAGGAAGGCTGCTCCCTGACCACACAGGAAGGCTGCTCCCTGACGGCGCACAGACCGCCTCCAGGACCTGGAATGGCTCCTCACTCTACAGCTCTCTCTGCATACGCAGAGGGCCTTCCAGGCAGCGGAGGACTCCCAGGAATGGATCCACACCTTGGCTTCGGGTTGTGCTCCCTCTCCTCCTCCCCGGCCTCTCTTTTTAGGGTAACCCCAAGGTGCACACCAGTTACCCAAGTTCTAGCGGGCCATCTTCCACTGGCCTCTGCCTACTTCCTCTGAGAAGAGTTCTGTCTCACCAGAGTGTGTTCCTCGCCCCGAGCGTGGCCTATGCAGACCACATTTCCAGCTGCCAGGAACCGGGACCCTTGGAGGAACTTCTGATCCGGGCCTCGGGGGCAAGTCGTTTGAGGTGAACCTGGTGCATCCCAGCCACCAAGGAAACACATCAACAGGTCTGGAGCCACCACAAAAAGGCCCCCCTAAGAGGCATCAGCTGCTAAGAATAAAACCATGAGGAATGGAAACACATCGGATAGGACTAAATCCAGACACTCATAACAGTGACGGACCAGCGTTCTTAGGGAAAGCACTCATGGCCCACTCGAGGGGGATCCCAGGGGGCCGGCTGACAATTTTGAAAAGCAGTAAAGGGGGCACAGAATCAGGCCTTTCTCACAGTGACGGTGCCCCTCCGTTTTGCCATCCAGTTGGCGACAGAAAGTGCATCGCAGAAGTGTCCCAACCAGGGACAGAAGAAGAAATGACGGACACGGAATGTCACCACTTTATGGAATTCATGGAATTAATTGTACAATTGTACAATCACCGAGGATTATAAACATTACCGAAAGAGAGAGAGTGCTGGGCACTGCCTGTGGAGAATTCTTGCCCAAAACAAACGGACAGAAATACAGACACAGGTCTGTGTGTCTGTCAATGCAGAGCAGGGCTCGAGACTGGAGCACGAAGTGACTCTGTGGGTTGCAGGAATCAAAACCAGGCCGTGTACGAAACTCACGTGACCCCAGTGCAGCTCAGCTCCAAATCAAACGGCCAGGGAGGCTGCAGGTCAAGAAGGAGCCATGGCCAGTGGCCCGTGGCGCTGCCCGGGATCTGGCTCCGCTCCGCACAGGCTGTCAGGGAGAACCTGGGACAAGCCGAGGTGAGTCCTGGCTGGAGACTTCTTAACAGCACGGATACTGTTCCGTGGCGTGGAGATAATCTGATCGCCCTGGTTTTAAAGAGTCTGCACCTTTCGGACAGACACAGACCGTGGTGTCTAACGTCCGTGGGGCCCACGGGGTCCTGGCAGGGTGGGAGGACGGCTGGAGCTGGGGACACGGTGCACGAGCGATGCCGTCTGTTCTTCTCCTTACTTTCCTGTCTGTTTGAAACTTCCCATAATAAAAAGCCTCCACCACTAATAAAAAATAAATGAAGCTCTTCCTTATCCTCACGACTGACGTCTGGGGAGAAAGACGTCGGGAAACCGCGGGCTCTCACCTTTTCATTAACTGGAGGAAGAGCCTCCTCGGCAGCCGGCACACGAAGGTGTCCAGGACGACCTTGAGGTAATTCAAGGAGACATAGCCACCTCGGGAGGGGTCCCCGGCACTGAGGGCTTTCTCAATCTTATCAATGGACTTTGAAAACTGCAAGCAAGGGAGATTAGAGTGACACTCAGAAATCAGCTCCACGGGGTTAGCTGAGCATTGCATTGTTTTGTTTTTAACCAAAACCGCTTCACATTTGCCTCTCCGAAAACTGATCAAAAAGGTTCCTGTGGCAGGCACGGAATTCAAATGTTTAATTGATGAACTGGCTGCTCACTAAACCGCGTTCTGAGACGGGAAACACAGCACAGACAATAGATCTCCCCCAGATCTCCGCACTCAAAGCCCCCGGTGGATCTGCCAGTTTGAAACGTCTTCCTTAATATAGTGCCAGCCGTACCCCACTGCGAAGCCACCCCTCGTTAAGTCAGGCCGGTCACACATAAGCTGGCGACAGTTTATTAAAAATAGAGGTAGACTTTATGGCAAACAAAGGAATTAATATCAGTATTACTTAAAGGACAACTTGGACATTTCTTAAATAATCCTGTCATAATGTTTTTCTGCAAAGAACCCGGGTGAGTGAGCTTTGTTTTGGAGACCCCTAGGCTGCGGTGAAGCAGTTAACCACTGATTTTTACCACTCATAAAAATACTGTGAAGATTGGTTTTCTCTCTAAAGGCTTCCCTGCTGTTTATTATTGAGTAATAACAATATTCTCCAATATTTTCCACATCCCAACTTCATCTGAATTTATTTTTTCCTGCTAACTTAGATAAGAAGACAAACAAATTACTGCCCACTTGGTAGGCGTTAAGACTTCGGCTGGAACAGGGACGTGCAGAAGCAAGTGTCCCCATCAGCTGAGGGAACACGGAAGCGGGTCCCGTAAAATATCCTCACTACGCCCAGGACGGTCGGAAAACAAAAGGAAAATCTTTAAACCTATTTAGGGACTCAAGTTTCTTAGACAGATCCTCTGAGATCCGCTGCATGGGAGAAGGCTCGCAGGGGAGTCCTGCACGGAGCAGGATCCCTGTGTGCTCAGGGGACCACTGGGTCGGTTTTTCATATCTGAATGATGCTGGGTCCTCAGGAAGCTTTTGCTCAGTAGCATAGCTCTGACATAACCGAGAGCCTTTGGGAAAACAGCAAGCAATGAAACAAATATTTTAACCTTTTAGGAATTTTCTTTGTTTACCCAGGAAGTAAGAGCATCTGTTTAAGACAAATGTAAGCAACCCACAGAAGACAAAAAGGAAAACCAAGATGCCCGGCAGCCTCGCAAACGACAGTGTCACACACAGGGCTGCCACAGCTCCTGGAGGGATCCTGATAATGTGGGTAATTTTACAAAGATGAAATCACGCTACACCTGCAGGTTTGACAGATGTTTCTTCACTGAACAGCGTCTTGGATTGTTTTTCCCCTAAGAACTTGTACTGGTCTGCATATTGCTGGTGGGTGTGCCAAAGTCCAGGTGTCTGTCTTCATCAGCACTTCCTGGCTCCCACAACAGCCTGTCCTTGCCTACACTCCAGAGGTTGTATTCACCACTGTGTGTTTTGTTCATGTCTTCCCCCTTGACATAAGGCCACGTGAGCTCTCCGGGTACAACCATTCTGCCGGTTTGGTTCGCTGTGAATCCAAAGGAGCACAGTTTTGGCAGGTGGGGAGCATACCACAAACATGTTGGAAGTGGATGTATTTTCATCCGAGACATTCTAAACACAGGTTGCAATTTATAAGCCACTTGACTCACTGCGAAGCAGAGAAATGAATGATGAACGCATACCTGAGATACCACGTGCCATGGCCTGGCCAGAGTGTGAAAGTCTAACCACGTCAAGTGCTGGTGAACATCCAGGACAACAGCGGTTTATGAGCTATTGGGGGAGTGGAAGCTGATCACCGGAAAACAATCTGATGTTGCTGATTAGAGAAGAGGACCTCGTTCCCTGCAGCCTGGTAGGCACAACTCCCGGAGGCGACCCACACAAACTCTTAAGGTGGCATTGCTCGGATTAGCGTAAAACAAGGAACAAGGGGAGACGTCCACCCAGGGGAGGACAAAGGCTGGTACAGCACGAGACAGAAGAAAACTCCGGCAGGGAAGCAGCAACACAGCTGTGTCCGTGTGCGGGGACCTCAGCCTGAGCTCCAGCAGGGTGCCAGGAAACGGTTTATAACTGTGCAAACTCACTGCAGAGGAGAAAGGGAGGGCGGGAAGGAAGCAAAACACGCAGACCTCCAGCGAGAGGCCTTCCCGTGAGCCGGGCTCCGCCATGGCCGAGAGAGAGCCAGCAGGTAAGCACTGGGGTGACGCGGGGGACTCAGGGAGGACTCAGGGACAGCGCGGTGCTGTTGGCTGACTCTGCAGCCTGGCCGGGGTCCGGCTCTCCTTGGAGGACCGCAGTGCGCCCTGTGGCAGCCCGGGTGGGAGGCCCTGCGGGCTTGCTTTTGAAATTCAATGTTTTGTTCCATTGTGCTGTTTTGTTTTATTCCTGCATCTGGTAACCTGAGCAACGATTCTGAAGATAACAATATGCAGCCATTGTCACATTCCTGTCATCTTGTTTTGAAAACCTATATAGCTTTTGTGGCTGTTGTTTCTGTTTTTTACGTTTATTCGCTTCTTGATTTTTCTGTTTTTACCTTTTTCTCTTTAAAGAAAAAAAAAATCAAGCAAGACACAAAGTACTCATACTGTCAGAAAATATTAACACCAAATCCCCTCTAAAATTTCAACGGCATAAAAATGAACTAAATAAAAATGAATTCATTAAAGTAAAGTCTTGAAAACTATGAAACAATGAAAGAGATAAAAGGGGATGTTTCAGAGCTAGGAAGATAAAAAAAATAGAAATAACATCAACACAGGAACTAATAAAAGTATAAACAGCAAGAATAAGAGATAAAGATGGAATTTAAATATTAAAGAAACAGCTTGAAAGAATCTCAATGAAGGCAGAAAAATGAGGCAGAAGGATTAGAGCACTCTGAGAGGAGGTGACAGCCATTAGGACAGACAAAGACAAGGTAACGCGAGGGTGGCTGGGTGCCACCTGCCACGGAGAGGAGGAGAGAAGTCGGGGAGACAGAGGGAAAAGGGGGACACGGCGGCCGCCTTCAGCACCAGGGCTCTGGCAATTTCCCCAAGATGGAAGAAGAATGAACCTGTACATTTAGAGGACCCGCCGTGTTTTAGGAGCTTCCCGACCTTAGTTTGGGTGTTGTTTTTTTTAATTTCAAGAAGAAAGAAAAAAAAAAAAAAAAAGCTTTCAGGATCGGGGCAGGAAAGCTTCCCCGGGGAAAAAGTAATCCTGTCGACCCCAGGCTGCTGGCAGCCACAACCAGGGCCTGAAGACAGTGTTTCCATCCTGACCAAGAGAAGCGACCCCAGCCAGGGGGTTCCAGCGTCAGGCCAAAGGCACAAGTTCTCCTAAGGAAAAACCAAAAGGAGGAGAGAGCGCCCCGAGCCTTTCTTAGAGGGACGGCTTGACAGCGAAACCCAGCCGAACAGAGCTAAATCAAAATGAAGAGCGCTGGGAAGACACTGGGGTAAGCCTGGAGCTGTGGGGATGGCGCGGATTTGTGTAAACATAAACATAAACAGGGAAGAAGGGGCGGGAAAAGAGGATTACAGGGAGTAAACTCGGAGGCAGCACCGAGCTCTGCCTGGGGACACCTGCAGACAGCGTGGATTCCCAGGCCTCGGGGCTCTCTTAATGTCTCCTCTTGTGTTCACCTCCCTTTGGGGACCTAACACATCTGCCGAGAGACACACACGTCCAAAGTCCATAGCTGGTGTGGTGGTGCACGCCTGTCATCCCACCACTCAGGAGGCTGAGGCAGGAGGATCACTGCAAGTTTGAGAGCAGCCTGGGCTACACAGTGCGCTCAAGGCCAGCCTGAACTACACGGGGAGGCCCTGTCTCAGAAAGACCAAAAAGAAAAAAAAATCCAGAAATGTGTCTGCTTTCCCCTGAGGACGGGCCTGTGGGGTTCAGAGCGACACAATGTGGGCTTATTAAACTCATTCCCAACCTCACCAGCAACTCCTCCAACTGCTTCATGCCTCAGTTTCCCCACTGAGATGACAATGAGGCCCGACTCCCAGAGCTGCAGAAGACCAGAGGACACTGCCCGGCCCCTGGGAAAACGAGAGAGCATTCATTATAGTCATGGTATTTGCTCTTCTGGGAAAACCAAGGAAATTTAACTTAGATATGTTTTAATTTTTTAAAAGAGTATGATCTGTTTTTTTATAAAATTATTCCTATCCAAGATCATCCCTGAAACTAACAGCTTCCATAGTTGGTCTGAAGCGAGCCTGGACTGAGGCCAGCCTGGACTACAGAGCAAGACCCTGTCTCAGAAAACCAAATAATAAATAAATAAAACCGGAAAAACAGTTCCATTTATAATAGCTTAAAAAAAACAAAACAAACAAACAAAGAGCCGTAGGGATCAACTTAACCAAGGAAGTAAAAGAGCCCACAGTGAAGATTTCAGAACACTGAAGAAGACCCTGCAAGACGGAAGGACCTCGCGCATTCTCAGCTTGGCAGGATTGGTCCTGCCCAACTGGCCGTGATAGGAAAAGTGAGCTACGGGTTCAACATAATCCCCATCAAAAGCCCAAGGACATTCTGAAATTCACATGGAGACACAAAAAGTCCAGCATGGCCAAAGGAATCCTAGGTAACACGTGCAGGCATCCCAGTGACCAATTGCAAATTATACTACAAAGACATACTAACAAAAGCAGCATGGTACTGACACAAAAACTGCCACAGAGACCAATGGAATAGAGTAGAGGCCATGTGGACACAGACACCTGGATGGAGGAGCCAAAAACGTATGCTGGGAAAAACACAGCTTTTAAGCAACAGTGCTGGGAACCCTGCACATCTACCACAAGAGAAGTCCGCAGTTAGATCCCTCTGCCCACCCTGCAGACTGGGCCAGAGAGGTCTAAGACCGGCACTCGGAAGCCACAGAAGAAGACACAGGCAGCAGCTGCAGCCACAGGCACAGGCAAAGCTTCCGGGTGGGACTAAGGACACAGGAAGTAGCAACAGCAGCAAGAGGGGCCCAGCGGATCAAGGAGGGCCTTCCTATCTTCCTGTACCGTAAGGGAAAGCTAATGGAGCGCAGAGACAGCCCGAGAGGGACAGCGTGCCAGCCAGCACGCCTCTGACGGAGAATTAGGTCCTGCAACATGCAAACATTCAACACCAGGTGGCCCAACCACACCGGGCAGATGCACTGGACAGACACAGTGGCCGGGAATACATGAGACAGAGCTCAGCGCCTCAGGGAAACGCAAACAGAACTGCATTGACAGCCCGTCTCTCCCTACAGAACGGCTGTCACCAAGGGCATAAGAAACATGCGCGGGCAGAGGACGTGGCTCAGCGGTGCTGGCACCTGCCTGGGAAGCCTGAGGTCGTGAGTTCAATACCCAGTACAAAAAAAGAAAAGAAAAAACAAAAACTGTGTGCTGGGGAGGATATGGTGAAACGGGCCCTCCGCACTGCTGCCGGGAATGGGAACTAGAGCAGGCGCTCTGGGAATCAGTACGGGGTTCCTCCAAAAAGCAAAAACAGCACCCCCACACAATGCAGCTAGCCTGCTCCCTGGGGTACGCCCAGAGCAGTTAAAGTTGGCATACTGTGGGGAGACCTGCACGCCCACGGGAACGAGCACAATTCACAACAGACAAGACGTGGAACAGCCTCCATGCCCGTCAATCGGTGAATGGACGGGAGGCTGAGGCAGGAGGATTGCCGCAAGTTCAAGGCCAGCCTGGACTGCACAGTGAGTTCAAGGCCAGCTTGAGCTGCATAGTGAGATCCTGTCTCAGACTAACAAAAGAAAACAACAAAACACAGGTGAATAAATAAAGAACATGGGCTACATAAACGCAACAGAGTATTATTCAGCCTTAAAGAAGAATGAAGTTCTACCATTTGCAGGACAGCACGTGGAACCAAAGGTCGCCACATTAAGAGAAGTGACCCAGACTGAGAAAGGGACTGCCATGCTTTCCCCTAATAAGTGAATGTAAAAAAGATGAACAGAAGTAGAAGAGAGGCTTTTATTAGGCAAGAGGAAGAAAATGAGAGGGAAAAGGTGTAAGGGATAATACTGCGGGACAGAAAAAGATTTCTGATTATATCAGAGGAGATCACGATGTTGACAGGGACTTCCTGAGGTGGACAAGGTCCACTCCCCCCGCTGGGTTAGCAAGGAGCACCCATGCCACGGCCAGCTTTTTATTCACAAATTACAGTGATGCACAGAGAGACCAAGCAAGCAGCTAGAGCAGGGTCACAGAGCCGCTTCAATCCTCAGTCTCGGGGACTGGGGCGCCAAGGGGTCCTCCTTTCTGTTTAAGAGCACTTTCTGAATGGTGCTATTATAAAACGTCTCTGAGCAGGGCAGTCACAGTGTGAGGAGACAGATGCGTCAGTTAGCTCAGCTGCAGGGATCACTGCACGGTGCACTTGGATCTCAACACGTGGCGTCATACACCTTAAATGGGTATTTTATTTGCCAATTATACTCAGTAAAAGATAAGCCAGTGGATGGTTATTTCTGTCTGTCTGTCCACTGACCTACCTACCACGGACACAGCCTCTCCTGCTATGCTGAACAACGAAAGGTCTGGAATCACATTCACCAAACGCTGCCTTTGACCCATTTGGGGAGTGACCTGTGAATAAGTTAATACTTTCTTCTTTGTGCCTGTCAGAATTGGTTACATTTTTTTTTTGCCATTGTTGTGCATTTTTTTTGTTTGTTTTTTGGTACCAGGGGTCCAACTCACGACCTCACACTTGCCAGGCAGGCGCTTGTGCTGCTGAGCTAAACCCCAGCCCTGCTGTGCATTTTTCAGTGGCCGTGTGGAAACTGCCATTGTTAATCATCATTAATGAGATGCATGGTCCACGGGTCAGGCGACGGACGTTAAATCGCTTGGTTCTCCTAATCTATCCCTCACTGGAGATTTTCTGTTACTAATTTGTAAGAGCAGGGTGTGTGCTGAGAAGTTATTGTCGTTTAGGTTGCATATATTCTGCGAAGTTGATCCTATGTTTAGAGAAAGTTCTGCTGTTCCAAATCTTTGCTGTCGTGTGGTCAGATGTCACATTTAAAGACTTCCAGCCTTTCACCTCGGCTTGGGGTACACCCCAGTGGCTGAGAGCTTGCCTAGTGTAATTCAGCACCATTTTAAAAAATCACCCAGCTCATTTGTTTAGATTTAAATAGTTGGTGCATATAGAACTTTTTTGGCAAGGAGTAGATGGTTACAAGCTTTTCCTCAAAAAAAGTATGGCTAATGAAATCAATCATGACCACTGAAAAGCCCACTTCCTGCCCCCACCTGAGTTCACACAGATTCACTGCTCCATGCGCCACTGTTACTAGGGGCGGAAGGAGGTCTCTCAGCTTGAGGAGACGCAGGTAGCATCGAAACAAATTTTATAAATGAGTATCTCCACCTGAGTGCCCGTCCCAGATGCCCCCGTGGCTGGGCTCACACCCTTCATAAAACACCTCAGGAGCGCATCTCACCTCTCGGCAGAAGGCCTTCTCAATGTCATCCAGGGAGTAGCCGCCCCAGCTCTCTTCGGATGGTGTGGAGCTGAGCCAGTGTTCTCTCTTGAGAGTTCTGGCTTGTGGATTCTCTGGTGAGACCTCTACGAAAACAAAACAGGTTATCACATGATCAGAGCTACGCTGAAATACCTCCTTTATTTCTATCATCACTGCTTTGTAAAAAAAAAAATAAATAACACTTAAATAAACCAAGAAAAGGATGCACTAGCTAGTAAAGTGTTTGAAACAATGGGACGAGCCAGTATGGTGACACATGCACGTGATCCCAGCAGGAGGGGTGCTGGGAGTGCCAGGCCAATCTGGGATACACAGTTAAGTTCAAAGCCAGCCTGAGCTACAGTGTGAGATCCTGTCTTAAAAATAACTAAATAAATGATTGGATGAACATTTTGGGAAAAACAAAATTAGTCTTCTATTATCCTAGGATAAACCGATAGAATGAAACATACACCAAATAGAAAAGGCCATAAAAGCAGTAGAAAAAATTACGATGACTGTTACATATTACACAATCTTCCTGAGGGAAGACCCTCCCGAGAAAAACAGTAAACCTACAAATCGTTTCAGGAACGAACAGGTCTGACGATATAAACACTATTTGATTTTTGTTTGGTTAAAATCTGCACAGCTAACAGTGAAAGACAAATGGGTGAGGGAAACCATTGTTAATAAACGTAAGAAACAAACACGTCAGTGCTCATCATGGACAATCAGATTCTCCGAATCAATACAATAAATATAAATGTCTAATAGAATACTTAGGTTAGAGACAGGTAACTAAAAAATTATGAAAGCTGCTCAAACTTACCTGGAAATTTTAGAGCCCAATTAAAACAAGTTACCATTTCATTTCTCTACTTGTCAGGCAGTCAAATGTTAGAGAGAGGGAAGCAGCAGCTCTGGCTTGTGCATGCAAAACCTTGCACTCGAAGATTCTTAAATCCTTTTTAAGACTTTATACTTGTGGAATGACAGGCCACTCGACAGCCCATCTGGATAAGGACGTTTCTGCAAGGGAATAAACTGACCCTCTCTTGTGCTCATTCACAGAGGATGAGTCTGAGAAGCCCTGGCCACCAAGCCCATGAGATGACAGAGATGTTAAAAAGGAGGCCGCACTGTGTAACTTCATGCGTGTGGAAATGCGTCTCCCTGTTCCCTGTTGCTCCAGGACAGTTAGCATAGTGTTCATTTCAATGCTGATTGTGTCTCTTCGCCTTCCGTCCATCTACTCACGCCACAGGAAAGCCGGGGACATAACACTCCCAGAACATCTCAGCAGGATTCAGGACGCAGGATTACAGGAGCTTGTTATTTTGTGTTTTCCGGCTTGTGTCAAACACAGGTGAATTACTTTTATAACAAAAGCGAGTAAAATAAATTTGAATTATAGCCAAAATCCACTGCAAAGAATCACAAATGCTTCCCCAGCTGTTTTTCCTAAAATGTCTGCAAATGAGCTCCAGCCAAACGAAGCCCGTTGCATCCTGCCGCAGCTAACAAACTGTCAGTCATCCGGAGCTCCGTCTCCTAGCTCCACAATGATAAAAAGAAAAAAGAAACAGCCGGCCTCAATGCAAAGCCTGTCCTTCAGGGGCTGGTCTGCAACACTCCAGCCTTGAGGACCGGGCACATGGAAGCTGGGATCTCAGAGCCCCCGGGCCTCGAGAGAGGCATCGTGGCAGGATGAGGGGCCACAGCCCACCCAGGCTCCCGCTGGTCAAGTTCCGAGGGTCTCCACGCTGGGCTTCGGGTACTATCCTGTTCTCTCCCCCGACCGCACACACATGCAACGCCACCACCCAGGCCTGGGCACGTGGACAGGCGGGCAAAGCGTGAAGGCAGAGCACCGTCCAGGAACTCAGGGCGGCCACACGGGAGGCGAGAAGGCCACAGCACCTTTTTAGTGCCTCCCTTGTCACAGTGGCCCCAGGTCTCACGCTCCAGGACAGCTCGGGAATTCCCAAGATTTCTTCGGAAGGATTCTTTGTTGGGACCTGGGATGGGCCCACCCGTCCCCTCCTGAAGGGTCCCTCGCTGATTTCAGCAATGTGGAGGGACCCAAAGCTTCCAGGTGTTTAGGAGCATCCCCAAGGGCTCATGGCTGGGCCTGCGTGGTCTTGGTAGACATCAGCTATGACCCCTAAAGCCTCACGCGGTACAGGGATTTTCAGAGGCGGCTGCCTCTGGAGTGTGTGGTTTGGCACAGTTCTGGCTGGGTTAAGGGCAACCGTGCTGCACCGCCCGAGGCCAGGGCCTGCGTGCGACATGAGGACAGAGGAGGCTTGTCCCTCGCCCCTTCGCTCCCTCGTTGCCTCGCTGCCCTCTGGCTGCCACGGAGGGTCCCTCTCGTGCTTTTGCTGTCTTCTGCCGCTGTAAACCGTTGCCCCCTGCCATGTGCCACCCGGCCTTGGAGCCAGGCAACTGTGGACTGAAACCTCTACAAACTGTGACCCAAATAAAGCTTTCCTCCCTCTAATTTTGGGCATTGAGTATTTTGTCTCAGCAAAAAGAGAAAAGTAACTAAGATGGATCAGTTAATAAGGAACTTCCTTAGCAACAGGAAACATGGAAGGACAAATCAATCACAGTGGGAAAAACTCAGAAATTAGCTGGCAGAAATTAGGAGCAAATTAGAAAAAATACAGTCACTTCCAAGATGAAGTACAGTATTATTAACCACAGTCACTGTGAAATCTGACTGTGGTTGACAATATGATTAACTACAGGCACCATGAAAGAGAAAAACTATTAAGTGTCCTCATCACACTCTGAAAAAGGAGAGATGTGCTAATTAACCGGATGGTGGTAAGCACTTCACAGTGTGTGTGTGTCCCGTCATCACCCTGCATGCCTTAGATATAATTTTTATTTGTCAATTACATCTCAATAAAGTTGGAAATAAATCATTTCAGAACGGAAGACTCACCTAGAAGGAACTCAAAGTAAACAAATACAACCGTAGCTGAGGTGAATCGCAAATTGTATCAGGTAGGGGGAAAGGAAGGAAAAAGGGAGGAAAAGAGGGAGTAAGGAGAGGAGAAGGAAAAGAAAGGAAGCAGATTCACGAGACCGCAACTGTCCCTTAGAGAAGGCAGGGGAACAGGACCCAAAATACATGTAATGCAAGTAGCTCGGAAGAAAAGCAAATGAAAGAACAGAACAAGTACTAAGAGTTATAAATTCAGGAACTTTTCTTGAAATGAGACTCAAATCTGCAGATTTAAATAGTAATCGTGCACTCAGTGTAAGCTGGGGTCAGATACAACCCTCCCAGCAGCCGAGCCGTTCGCCAGCAGGGGCACTGGGCTCGGCAGGGACTCGGCTCAGCACCAAGGCTGTCACAGCAGACGCAAGATGTCCTGAGAGAGAGAAGGTAGGACAAGGAATCTGCAGGTCCCTGGACATCTGGAGAGACCTGGAAATTGATACGGGGCACCCCAAGGACTTTGCCCATTGAGGAGTGAGGCAGACGGAGAACGTCCTCCCGCCTAAAATCCCTGACTTCCCTTCATCCCTACAGAAAGCCCTGCCTCTCTGTTCCCCACAGACGGCCTATCCCCTCTGTCTGTCTGCACCGGACCCCTGGTTGCTTCCACAAAAGCCTGTCGAGTGGCGAGTGGTTGCTGCCTCCTACACTCAGGAATCAATCACGAGTGTCTAGTAGTATCAGGGCACAGGCTTTCCCAGCAAAATTATCAGGCTTCAGCTGTGTTTGTTAGTTTGTTTCTTTTTTTAATCTCTAGACATTCAGGCAAAAAGATCAAGTTACAGATAGGGAGATAAATTAAACCATCACCAAGTTTTTGTTTGGTAAAACTTCACACCATCAGACAATGGATAAAGGTAATTCAGACACTCAAGAAAATTGGGACAGATGCCTTTGCAGCCCTGCGCTGGCGTCTGAGCATCCATGGGAGGACAACAGTACGCAGTATTTGGGTGATTTCCTTCTAGCTTGTTTTTGAAATCCAATGTTGTTCTCACTGTTTTGTTTTGATTAATTGCTTTGCTTTATTCAATGCTCTGTTTTGATTGGTTTTATTCTATTTTGTTTGGTTCAATTTTGGTATATCTGACGGAATGGACAGCTATTGTGAAGTTAACAAGATCTACTACAGCAGTCTTTGCTGATTTCCTAGTGTCCTGTTGTGAAGTTCTGTACCAATTTCACTGCTTTGTTTTGATTGGCTTTGTTCTGTTTTGTTTTGTTGGGTTTTATTATCTTTAAAATAAAAAAAAATCTTTGAAAGAAAATTAGAAGTGAGAATTTTATATCTAGAAATTTTGATTTTTCAACTTTAAGGCCACGATCTTATGAACAAGAAATCAGAGCATATCTTTTCCATGAGTAATTCCAAAGGAACACACCAGAAAGGAAGCTTCAAATGACCACAGCCTGGGGACACAAGGAGGACAGAAGCCACTGAGCAATGTGACAGGACTCGGGACAAGGTGACCGTCCCAGGTGGAGCTCAGCCAGGAGGCGGCAAGGCCGCCTCTGAAGATGGAGGAGATCTGGAAGGTCAGCCCGCCCTGAGGCTGACCCCAGCCCTGCCGTCCACAGCCTCGGTCTAGAGATGCCTCAGAACCCGCCCCAGATCGCATCGTTAATCCAGAATACCCCGCCGGAGGCTGGCCTCTACCCGCAGGGTCTGAATTTCAAGTTAGAAACCAGAGACCATGGATTCAGTGAGAAAATGGGTGTGAATAGGATATTTTTCAGACAATCTCTGTGGCCAGGGTTTGGAACAGAGACTGGAACGGGGCAGTGAGGGACACCAGGAGTGCAGCCGGGACCCAGCAGCAGGACTGCAGGCAGCGCTGTGGGAACAGGGGTCCCGAGGCCTGAGGAGAGAGGTACGGTCAGTGTTTGATCTTGTAATAAATTAACTGAGGTAGAAGACAGCAGCCCTCAGCTCCCTCCAGATCCCCGCCCCTTCCAATCCCTTTGTCCGTCCCTCTTGCCACTTTCTGAAGCAGCTCTGGAGTTCCCCGGCATGACAGGCTTTAGGTCTACTGTCACGGCTCCTTCAGGGTCCGGAGTTGACTCAAGCTGTCACCCTTCTGCGGTTACTCTGACGTCGGGGAAGAGTCGGCACTCAGCAGCAGCACTCACCGTATTTTTGATCATGTCTCTCAAAGACCCTCTTGACAGAGGACCACCAGAGCTGCTTCGGGAAGTGGCGAGAACACTGGGTAAGTGCATTTGGAGTGAGAGAGGGAATTTTGAAGGGGACTAATGGAAAAGCTGTCTTTTACTAGGATGATTTTTTAAAACTTAAATATTCCCTATCTATGTTGATCACACCTCAGACGGGAGCATGTTCAGAAATGCCCAAGAGGCTGGAGAGAACCAGACACCTTTCACTGTGCGACGTGTCGATAACGGCGAAAGCCTGCTGCCGATTATTGGTAAGGCGCGGAGTGGGAAGTGGGAGAGATCTCCATGTAAACTGGAATAGTATTACAGAGCTATCTCTTACAGCACCTAATGAAATAAGCCAAAGGGGGAAAGCAGTAAAAATTCCATGTGCATAAAAAAAGCAAACAATACTTAATATGAGCAGCCAGAAAAATTTGCTTCCAATTACGGTGGATTAGCGCACATTACACCAACACTCCCAGCAGATAACAATTATAAACTCCAGGCAAAACAGAAACAAAACTCCGGAGGCGCTGGGGGCGGGGGGGGGGGGGGGGGGGGCAGCTGAACGCAGAAGCCGACCGAGGCTGACGCTGAGAAACCAGCAGCGCCAGAGCTCTGCCGGCAGGGACCGAGCTCAGGGCTGGAATCTGGGTGTAAACCAGGGTCTTGTGGGCTTCCGGAACCAGAAACAGCTCAGGTCTGCCTGGCAGCTGGAGGGCGAGCAGGAAAAGGCCCCCAGTGAAGGACGGACGGGGAGGGGATCTGCAGGAGGGTGGGTAAACCTCAGCCGAGCCTCTGGCCAGCTTCTGAACTGGGAGGCGCAGAAGAGAGGCCATGGCGCTGGGTTTAGGGTGGGACAAGAGCACGGGGATCCCAGGTGCTGCCCCTCGGGGTGGGCAGGCGGTGCCAGCACAGCAGGGAGACTGACTGCTAGAACTAACAAAAGAAGTGACAACTGCAGAGGCGCATGAAAGAATCCATAGCCTACAACAATGCAAAATTTATCATACTCAGGATAAATTCCAAGTTTACCAGAACAGGAAACTGCACTCTACATTCAAGAAAAAAAAAAAAGCAGGAGGAGGAGTGTGTGTGAGTAAGGACCACACTCGGAGACCATCAAAACGTTGGAATTAGCAGATGTTTAAAAATCTTAAAGCTCTGGAATAGTCCTAATATTTTCTAATAGCAGTAGAATAGATGCTCCTAACGAAGGGACAGGAGACCTCAGAGGTTTTAACAGCGGAAGCTCTCACTCTGTGGAATTAGTGTCACAGGGGCTAAAGGCAGATTCTCACTGATTTAAAGATGTGCACCATGAACCGCAGAACAAGCAAAAAGTGTCCCCTGAAATAAAAAGGTCAACAGGGGCACTAAAACAGACTAGAAAACACCCGCCTTACCCAAATCTCCTGAAATTAATGCAGGCTCTACAGGGACAAAAAGGGCGGGAGGAGGCTGGATAAACAAGAGGGAAAGGCAAGCATTGCTCCTTGATTTTAAAAAACTACGGGACATCTAACTAAAGACATGAATTCTGTAAAACAGTGCTCAGTGACAGGTGGAAGACAGTAAGCTGAGCTGGACAACAATACGACAGGCCTACAGGAGCACAACGGATCTCGCAGGTAAATTAGCAACCCAAGGAGCAGAATGATCTTGGTGAAGATCACACTGCAGAGGTAAATACAGATCGAAGGTGAGAAGGATAAGCAGTGAGCACTTGGCTGGGCTTTAACAGCCGAGCAGAACAAAGACAGCAGGCTGGCTAAGGATCCGGGAAATGGGAGATGTCTTCAGAGACACACAACGTTATTTTTAAAAACTCTTAACAGGCGGAGAAAAATCGAGGACACGGAGAGCTGGTGCGGAAGATGCGTCCTGGAGAGGCCAGGGATACCAGTGCTCTCGGCAGCCAGCAACAGGAAGCTGATCGCCAGAAAAGAGAGAAAGTTACGCAGCGCAGGCCTTGGACATGGAGCCCGGACTCAGCGCCGGCAGGGCCGGGATCAAGGTCTACTGCATTTGGGAAGGGAGAAGGGTGGCCCCTGGCTTGATATCCAGCCAGGCGCAATCCTTTTCTTGCATTTTGCCCGATTTCTAGCCCTCGGCTGCACTCCAGTGAGTTCTTACGTAAAACAGCGGCCACAGGACGCCATCTGACAAGCCGTTTCTCTCCCTCTGCCCTGCCTTTCCATATGCACGCATGGGAGAGTGCCAGGAATAATGCTGACAGTTATTTCTGGCCGGTGAGACCAGTTTGAGGGTTTATTTCAATCTTGCACTTGTGGCAAAGCTGCAGGGAAAATGACAAGAGCTGACACGAGAACGAGCCTCGCACAGGGCCGCCACGGGCCGCTCTGGAATCCTCGGTCGGCCATGAGCAGAGCCGGGCTGAGACCAGGCAATCTGTCGCGTCTCAGCTTGCTAGCGAGGCGGGACTGAGGGCTGCAGAACGCGCTCGCTGAGTGTCTGCTGAACTTAATTAAGTTGAAACCCAACAGTGATGACCTGGGTTGAAAGAACCAGCCACAGGCCAGGAACCCTGAGGGCAAGAAACTGCATAGAGCAGGCCAGAAAAAGTGACCCGAGGCTGGGGAGGGGAGTGTGTTAGTCAGACAGGCACCCACAAAGATGTAGACCCCGATGCTTGCCGGAAATACCCAACAGCTGGACACTGTGGACATCACGTTATGGACGCTGGGGTATGGACTGTGCTCAGAGGGATTTTCACACTCGGAGAGGACACCAGGCTTCACTTGTCTGATAGAACTTTAAACTACTCAGCTTTTTGCCCCTTTATATCAAGATTTTTCCCATTACAGGAATATGTGTCCATTATCAAAAATGAAAATACAGAAGCTGGTAGGGCGTGGTGGCACATGCCTGCAATCCCAGCACTCAGGAGGCTGAGGCAGGACTGCTGTGAGTTTGAGGCCAGCCACGGCTGCATAGTGAGTTCAAGGCCAGCCTTAACCACACAGGGAGACCCTGTCTCAAAAAGAAAAAAAAAAGGCATCAGAAAGAAGAACAAACAACACTCAGACACATTACTTAGCGATAATCCATGAGTTCTTTTGGGTTGTTTTACAATCAAGCTCGGGTCCACACACACTAGCAATTGTATCCGTAGCTCGTGTTGTGAGCTGTCCACTTTACCATGCGGACATGCGGGGACGCAGGGCTTTTCCTGTTGTTAAGCACTTACACTGTCCTCATGACCTATGATCCCACGGCTATCTTTACAGATGACCTATTTTCCACGCTTGAAAATACCCTCTTCTCAGGAATAGGACAGGCATGACCTCACCAAAGGAGACTGAAATCTTTAGGGAAGGCTTTGAAGGTTCTTACCTTGGTTTCCCATAAAGTATCTAAGATGCACGTCATTACTTTTGCTGAGGTTCTTCAAAAACACACCATAATCCACTGCAGTGTCTTTATCAATGCCGTAGTGTTTTGAGAACCTGAAACACAAATGTTCCTTCCAGATCAGACATCACAGCGCAGAGGCTCTACCATGAAGGGTTTCTTCTGCGTTACTGAGGCATCCTTTGCATGGAGTTGGCATTAATTTTAATGTCGGTGTCTAGCTACAGCTGGAATTAAAAAGGAACCCTGGGAAATGTTACCGGCAGGATTTTAAAATGCGGAAACTTTGAAGGAAACCGGCTCCCCGACCTTCAGATGGAGGAGCAGAGATCTGAAGGAGGTGGAGGGCTCCCAGCCCTGCCACCCACAGTGCTGCCCCCTCCTCCCGGGGAGAGAGGTACAGGGGCCCCGGCAGCCGCCACCTCACTGAGACAACGGGAACAGCTGTCCTCACCTTCCTTTATATGGAGGCACCCAGATGTGAGAGGGAGCCAGCTGGCCTAAGGTCTCCATGGCCAGGGCGCCCAGGGCACCCAGGGCTGGGAGGGTGGGAGACACACAGGCCACCTCTGATTACACTAGAGAGAAACTGAGGCCCACAGGACCCATGCTCAAAGCAGCCAACAGCAAGCGGGGGACCCAGGCTGCCCTTGAAGCCTTCTGTGCTGGGCACACACAACAAGAAACCTTTAAAACAGGTGAACTCCAGCCCCTCCGTGACACAGACTGAGGTAAACAGAATGCCTGCACTCTCTGTCGTGGATTTTCTACTCTGCAAACCTGCCATTTGAGAGACGTTTTTCCAGATAATTTCTGAGTTATTCCATTTCTTTAAGACTGACAGTTTTTACGTGTTTGGTTATATTTTCTCCATATGTGTTGGTTTCTATAATTATCTAATTTCATGCTGCTTTTTTAAAATTTAGTAATTATTACTTAAGGTGTTTGTTATTTCTCTGTTTTCCAAATGTAACGGAGAATACTGTCGCATGTTTATTTCATGCATACCTACTCTTCCTCTTTGATGAAGCCTGCCTATTGTTCTACTGAGAAAACTTATCTTCAGGGCTGACAGCTGCCAGAGTGAGCAGAGAAACTCCCTAGGCAGCCCCCCGCTTTCCTCCTGGGCCTCGATCACGTGGAAAGGCGAGATGACCTCGGGAACCCTGCAGGGGCAGTTCCTGGGGACCTTCCTGAGTGGGGACCCGTGGGCTGGTGGGCTGCTCCAGGAAAATGCAGAACACTGTGAAAGGTCTGCTGCTGGCCTTCCGGGCTTCGCGAACAATGCCTTCTTCCTGAACACAGGATTGGGCTCAGAGGACAACACTGACCTGGCCACGGCCCAGCCTGGCAAGCTCACAGGGCCCGATGCAGACACCCTGGCAGACGGAGCTGCGGGGACCACATGCTTCAGAATGGAGGCCTCAGCCCCGCCCAAGGGAGGCAGCCTCTCCAGAGGCTTTTTACAGGAAGCAAAGATGGGCGCCAGAAACCTTCCTAAGAGACCACAGACCAGGGCCTCCTGCCAGGGACGTGGCCCCAGGGCAGGGCCTCAGGGATCTGCAGAAACCAGCAGGCAGGTGGATCGTGCCAGGCCCAGACTGGGAGAAGGACGGAGTCCAAGCACAAATACGGGAGAAAAAGCCATAGGCCTCAGGCAGCAAGCTGACCACTGAGATTGGGAGGTTAGTTTGTTTACTAGGCTGCTCGTAGACTACTGCCCACAGATGCAAACAGTCAGGGTGGTTACAGTGTAACCCAGGGCATAGTGATCATTGGATCTCTGGCCTCCTGCTTTAGGTAGGCAGCCGGCATTCTGCAGCCTGAAGGGAGCTGTCAACTACAGGTCAACAGGCACTCAGCTGGGGTCCGGTCCACGCACAGGCCCATCCTTGCCGTGCTCCCCACGCTACAGGGCATTTGGACTCTATCCTGGGAGGTGAGCTGTCAGCACCCAGTTCTCTAAGAGAAAGATGAGTCTCAGGGGACCCAGAGCACCCTGAGGTCCCAGGATGCGGACACAGAATGCCCAGACCCGACCCCTCCCAGGCCTGACTCAGAAGCCTGAGCCCAGCTATTTCTATGGCAACAAGGGTCAGACATGCATCCTAGACAGAAAGCTGCTCGATCAAAGAAAGGATTCAAAAACGCATTGTTTCCTGCCCCCAAATTTAAAAGGCACCAATAATACAGAAGCAGCTTCTCCGGGAAAAAATATCTTCTTGAGTGTCAGCCAGGAAGGCATTAAAGCAATTGAAGAAATGTTCTCCTTTTTTGATCTTCTGCGGTCTACAGGAAGCAGTTCTGCTACGTGAAGTTTCTCCGGCCTTATCTTGAAAACAGCATTGTTTTGGAGGTTTCAAAAAAAAAAAAAATAAAAGTCTCGAATAAAAATTTGTGGAGTTTTTTATTATTCAGTACTTAAGAGATGGGGAAACAGACAGTAACATTTTTTATAGATTTACTAGGTTGGAGACTGCAGTGCCAAACACAAGGTTTATTGTCAAATAAAACACAGCTTTGTCTTTGATTGCCTGTTTTAGGAGAACGCTGCTTCTGTTCTATAATTGCGTGTGCAAAATTATTTAATTTGTTTTGTTTGGATCTTATTCTGGACACTTTCCCAGCCGGAAAGGATGTAAAAATTAAAACATCTATTATGTCTTTTATATTCGGAGGTGGGTTATAAAGAGGAGGAAAGAAAAAATTATTCAAAGAAGTGGGAAATATTCCATTTTGTCTTTTCAGGTTTCCCTGCTGTGCCACCAGCACAAGCCGCCCCGTGTCCCTGCCCGGGGCCAATTCCTCTGCCTCTGTTGTAGGCTCTGGGGCTCCTGGTGAGAGCAGGCTCAGGCCTCTGGTGAACAACCCGCAGGGCACACTGTGCGCTGACCCAGGACGTCTGCTCCGAGCCCCTGGTGGGTGATCTCGAGCCCTGCACAATACTGCAGTGAAACTCCCGGACGACGGCCAAAGTTACTGAAGACTTGTTTCTGGGATCTCCCATTTCGTATTTTTAGACGTGGGTGGACCACAGATAATGAAACTGCCGGAAGCAGAGGCTGTGGGTGTTTCAGGAAGCGTTTGGGAAAAGGCGAGAAGAGAGGCCCTGTGCCTGCGGACGCTTCCTGCATGGCCAAATCACAGCCCATCCTGCACTGTCTTTCCCTTGAAGCCACCCGCACAGCAGCCACGGGTGCAGGTCCGGCTTCTTCTAAACGACCCAGAGTCCACTCTGCGGAATCCTGCAGGGGGCTGTGGATTTCAGACCTGAAGGCACAGCTAAATGTCCAGGGCTCTCCACCCGGAGGAGGTTTCTGCCATCACATCACATCGGGAGGGCCACGTCAACAAACCAAAGAATCCTGGAACTGTGTGTGCCTCCTAACCCAGGCTGGCAGGTGGAAAAGCCTCCAGGGGAGGGCGCAGCGCAGAGGGGGAAGAGGAACCCACCATGGAGGACTCGGTTCAGTATGTGGGTGCAGGCCAGCTGGTGGCACTGGCTTTGGGACGCCAGAGAATGGGACTGTCAGGTGCACAATTCCCGGCAAGCTCCGGGAACCAGCAGAGAAGCCCGGAAGGAGGGCGGGGTGACGGCGGGAGCCTGGCCGCAGGCTCCGTGCACCCCGCCCCATACTCACTTCTGGTATTCCTCCTCCGTCATCTGCAGGCAGAAGGTCTCCAGCACCCGCCTCAGCTGCTGCGGCTGCACCCGGCCCGTGCTGCTGACGTCCAGGAGCCGGAAGGCTTTGATGACTGCTTTCGGGTTTCTGAAAACCTAGTACAAAAAGGTGGTTTTGGGGAACAGTCAAGAGATCCTGTGTTAAAACCCAAAATGGTAACACAAAACGTGTAAGTTTTTTTTTTTAAATAAATCCTGTAAACTACAATATTTTCAAAGATTTGCGGTGGTCGGCTGGAAAATGACACACCTCGGGGAAGAAAGGACACTTTGCATTTATTGAATGTTTTCAAGGCAATTTTCTCGGTAATGGTCTTAGTAAGTTTTGAGTTTCTTTTTTTTAAACCTCTTTCAGATGTAAAGCAGTAAGTTGCATAGACAATTTGTTCCCTTTTACGGCTGTATGAAAAATCTTCTTGTTAATTGACACTTAAAAACTAGCTCTGGCAAAGCTGGCCTGGTAGGGATTTTTATTTTTTCTCAGCCATATGCAAACTATTTTTACTGGGAGCTGCAAAATATGGCTGCATATTTCCTCCCCTCTGCATTTTTTGAAAAGATATTACAGGGATGCTTTATACAACTCTTCGCCTAGTTCAGCGAAGGATACTTAGCGGGCACATGGATATTCGTGGTGAGGCTTGAACCCGCGCACAGAGCAGGCTGGGCAGCTGCGCAGGAGCTGGAGACCAAGGCTCCCTCGGCAGAGCCCAGGGGGGAAGAACCACCACTTCCCCACTCCAGCACCCTCTCCCAGCCAGCCAGGCCGGATGCTGGCTTCAAACTCAGGTTCACCCTGTGATCACCCCACAGGAAAGAGGGGACGTGTTGATACCTATTCACTGAGACAGGCCAGAGCCCAGCAGCACGGTTTGCAGGCCTTTCCAGAAGAGGACAACACTTCCGGCCAAAGTGACCTAGGGGGCTTCTGGTGGGAGCTGGCCCTGAGCTGGAAGGGTGACAGGCCCTGCACACAGCTGTGGTGACTTCCCACCACCGAGGTGGGACAGAAGGGTGACACTAAAGCCCGCTGGGGGGCTGGGAGCAGGAGCAGGCGGTACAGCTGAGTCCCGGAGGGTCTGTTCTACATCTCTGGACCCAGCGCATGACCAGCCTGGGCCCTGAGAGACAGCAGGAACCTCACAGGGTGACAGGAGGACCGGCAGACAGGTCTGCTCCCTTCCCACCTGCACGCCCGGCTCCTTGGTGCTTTCTCTGTATTCAAGTTCTGTCCTGCACTTGAGAAACCCTAATGCCCAGAAAGGATGCCCGCTGCAGCCCCTCCAGGGACAGCTGTCCTTGCTCTCCTGCCCCAGACATCAAGAGCTGATGGCACTGGTGGCCTCCCTCCCCTGTCCCTACTTCAGGGGTACTGCTTGGCCTTGGTCCTAAAGCCTCAGCTCACCTGCTCCCCGCTGCCCCCCTTTGCAGGCATCTGTGTCTCCAAAGGCTCCTGCCTGGGCCATGCGAGCCCTGCACCTCGCTCTGCACCCCTGTGATGGCCAGTCCCTGGAGAGCAGAGATCAGCACTCCTCCCAGGCCTGCTCTCTCCCCCTCACCCCTCCACCTCCAGCTCCACCTGCTCCCAGCCCTCCCGTCTCCCGCCTCAGGTGGCCTCTGTGCTCACCGGCACCCCTTGAGATCTGCAAAGCGCCCCCCCTCCCCAGCAAGACCCCACCTCTGAGGGGATGCCCCAGGGCCTGATGTGGTGGACAGAAGGGGACCCCTGAACACTTCCAGGGCCCCTCAAGTCCCAGGCCACTCACCCAGGGCAGGCAGGACGGGGGTGCAGCTGTGTGGTAATACTTCCACAGCCACTGCCCCCTACACACACACACACACACACACACACGTACACACACACACGCACGCACACACACCATCCAGTCATTACCCTTCTGCTAGGACCAGAACCCAGGGCCTCGAGCAGGCCAGACAAGCCTGACCACCACTGAATGGAATGACAACACTGGCTACTGATGCCATGACAACAAAGATCATGTGATCACTACCCAAATGCCAGGTGTGTGCAAAGCCCCGCCCTAACCTCTCCACACCACCCGCTAACAACCTGCACGCAGGACCAGCAGGGCCTCGGGAGATACCCAGCCCTGGGGGCGGAGTGCAGGCGCGTAACCCTCTGCTCCGTCCACCGCCCTGTCTCCAAGCTGGGCCCAAGGAAACTCAGCACTGCCCGCTGCCACATCCCTATGTGCCTCCCCGGGGGAAATGCAGGAGGACACGGGCCGTTGCATGTTTTAAAAACCCCCAAGCACCCCATATGGATGCCCAGCGTGGAGCGGGGAGCAGCGAAGCTGGCAGCGAGCCCCCGCCCACCAGAGCGACGTCTCCAAGTTTCTTATCACTTGTCAGACTTGAGGTTGGCAGGAGCCGCAGTGCAGAGCAGCAGATGGTGAGGCTCAGCTGAGGTGGCACAGTCAGGGGGCCCCAGGGTCCAGGGCTGGCCCCGAACTCAGCGGGAGACAAGGAAATGGCAAGAAATGAAGACCCTGGCCCCGTGAGGGCGCCTGTGCCACCCCAGGCCATTCTCTGCAGGGGCCTCCTTGCTCCCTCTGTCACCGCCCGCTGCTGCCCTCCTGTCCCCCCTGCTGGACACTACCCTCCCTGCATTCGCTCAGGTCTCAGTCAGGAGCAACCTGCTGCCCAGGACTCCGTCTGGCTCTCCCTGAGCATGGCTCAACCCGGGACCATTTCTGATCTGTCCACCTCTGTCTTCATCCCAGGCTCTTGGCCACATTTACTGCTGTGTCCTTGGGGCTCAGCACCACCTGGGCAGAGCCGATGCCCTCACGGATTCCCAGAGGTGAAGAACCACTGTGTCCACCCCAGATTCCTGGCCCCACCCCACCACTGCCCACTCTTGGGCAGGACTTGGTGGCTTCTCATCCGGCTTCCTAATTCCCCTCTGCCGAATCGATTCCCCAACTTTGACTTGCACATGGTGGTTTAGGGTGGCCCGACCATGTGACAGGCTCCTTCCCGCCTGCTCTGGTGGGCAGTGTTTCCTTCCCAACCTCCAGTCCCCCACTCAGGGAGCAGTGGCAGCCAGCAGGACCGAGGCGCCCAGGGAGGGAACAGGGGGCGCAGTGAACAGGAGAAGGGCCCGCTGCTGCTCCACAAGTGTAACAAATGGCAACATGGTCTCACCCTGCAGCTCCCCAGAGCGGGCAGGCCTGGCAAGGCGGATGCGCCCAGCTTCCTCGACAGGGAGATGGGGCTGTCTATCCTAGGAAAGGTAACCCTGCTTGCTGATTCCCTATACCTGCAGGCAAAGGGAGCTTTAACACCTCCAAACACTTGGGAAAAAAATCAAAGGAAGACTACTTCATGCCATGTGAAAAGTTATGTGAATTTCAAATTTCAGTATCCATAAATAGATTTTCCTGGCATGTGGCCATGCCCACTCATTTGCATATTGTTTGGGCTACGTTTCCCCCCACACACACAAAGGAGGAGGGCGGGGAGGCTGGAGAGGAGAAAAGCCTGACCTAAGACAGAAAGACTCCTGGCCCCGACCTCAGCCAGCTCCACACAGCTCAGGGTTTTACAAGCACACATGCAAAACAAAGAGCTGAGGATTTTCAAAACAATACCTATTTCTGACCTCAAGGTGCACAAACTAACAAACAGGCCTGAGGTTTTGGGAAGAAACTGCCCGTGTCCCTTCCCCTGGGGACAGACTTCATCCAGCTCCCCTGTCCCCGCCAAGCCCTGCGGAGGGCCTGGAGTACCCGATGCCCTACTGTGCCACACCCCAGCCCATCATGCACCCCTGCACCCCCTACACTCTTGCAGCCCCGATCTGGGTAAGCAGGGACCACAGGGAGGACCCCAAATGGTTGGGTTCTTCCCTCCGGAGAGGCAGAAGAGAGAGCTTCACACCTCGAAAGCATGGCTTCACAAAGTGAACCCCTTACCTAGCATCTCAGCAAAGAAGGGAAGCCCAGTCACACAGGAGTGAAGAAAAATGAGGTGACTGAAGAATAAGAACATTCAAGTTTTAAAAAGTAATAGAAGCAAATTTTAAATTGAAATATTCTAGAACCAGGCACTATGGTGAATGAGTCTAATCCCAGCTACTCGGGAGGCTGAGGCAGGAGGATTGCAAGTTCAATTCCAGCCTGGGCAGCTTAGTGAGACCCTGCCTCAGAATAAAATTTCAAAATGGGCTCCGGAGATATGCAGCTCCGTGATCGAGGACTTGCCTAACATACATGAGGCCCTGGGTTCAATCTTAGAGCTGAAAAAAAGATTTTCATGAATTATGAAGATGGGGGAGGGGAAGGCACACACCACCTTCCAGGCATGGTGGCTTGTCCTGAAAGCACACAAAACTGCTCTCAGTGGAGCTAGTTGGACAGACAGATGGACAGAGGAATGTTTGGCTGGATACGTGTAGAGTGGGTGGGTGGATGGGTGAGTGGCCAGGTGGAGGGGTGAATGAGCTGATCTGTGGGGACAGATGATGGATGAATAGCTGTTTGATGGGTAAACAGCAGAGGGGTAGATGGTAAGCTGATTGGCTGGGTGGGTACACAGGTCGGGGAGGGATGGGTGAGTGGTGGGTGGGTGGGTGGACAGGTGGGTGGGGAGACGGGTGTAGAATGAGGGACGGTGGGTGCTGCAGCAGAAGCTGCAACGAGCCAGGAAGTCCTCGCATCGGTAGGAGAGGTACAGGCAGGATGGACAGAGGAGCAGCGGACTTGGTGACTGACTCTGAACCTTCCCGTGGAGGAGCTGAGAATCAACAGGAGAACAGGGCAGGAGGAGGCCAGGTAGGGAGGAGCCTGGTCACCTACCGCTGACACAGCCAGAAAGCGTGACCCTCCATGGGCTAAGACAAAACGGGAGGTAGAAAGCATGTTTCCAGCTCCCCGAGGACTTCTCAGCAGTGGAGTCACCCTGGCAGCAAGATGATGTAAGAAGAACCAGAGGGGGACCCGAGAGGGTTAAGTCAGAGCCCATTCTCCGCATCAGGAAGCTCTCACAGTTTGTGGACTCGGTGGGGAACGAGCCTTCCACCCTCCCCGGAGAGATCACCAGGTCAGCGATGCGGAGAGACAAGTCCCCTCCCGACCTGCACCATGGCCACCCCATATCTGGGGAGAAGGAGGCAGCATGGCGTGAGGAGAGCTCAGCTGCATCTGCCTGCATCACAGAGGAGGAGGAGGAGGAGGAGGAGGAGGAGGAGGAGGAGGAGGAGGAGGAAGAAGAGGAGGAGGAGGAGGGTGCTGGGCTGCGGCAGGATCAGGTCTGAAGCTGGGCCGGGCACTGCCTACAGGTGCCCTGAGGTCTGCTGGGAAATGCCCGTCAGGGACCAAACAAGAGGCAGAGACATGTGTGTGCCACTGGGGAACTGCCGGGGAGGAGACCACGCAGCTTCCTTTCCGTGCCCCACTGAGCTCAGATGGTGCAATAAGCTGCCTGCAGTGACTGTGATTATTTCCCCATCGTTCTTTGTTTAAAATTCTTTTTATAGCGTTCTGAGCTCCGGGAAGCAAAGCTGAGAACCCAAATAAATAGGACCACCCAGGCTTTATCGGAGGAGAGAAGGGCCTCACGCCTCTGTGGACCCCGGACTTCTGCCTCCGTCGCCCCTCTGGAGGCTAGCACAGTCTTGGCAAGCCAGAAGCAACCTGCAAACCGCAGACCCTCACACCTTCCCGCTCCACCCCACCCGGAGCCCCCCGCTGCTCACTTCCTCCCCGCAAGCCACTTCCTGCTTGGCTGCTACCAGAGGGGGGGTCAGAGCCACAGCCCACCCCCTGCAGCACACTGAGCCCCCACCCCGGCATGGGGGGCTTTGTGGCACTGCTGTCAGTCTGGCACCTTCCTGTCACCGCCACTAAATCCGTTTTACATTTAAGAAGAAATAAATGTAAAGGGAGCTGCAGAAAAGGATTTCTCTTACAATAAACACATCAACGCTCATTTCCCTTATTATTCTACTTTTGGCTATTTTGTATAAAATCTTTAATTAAAGTTTTTCTTTGAAATTGTCATTATCAACCCAGAAGAAAGAAAGGAGGGGGAAAAAAGACCAACACAGCTGTGAGCAATGAAGTACTATTCAGGACTAAATGAACTGGAACGAATTAAGTAGCTTGACTGTTATGTTCTTGGTTCTGGCTCTGTATTCTCAATAGCACCGTCTAACTTGTCACTTTATATCGATTCCATCTGTTTACACTCTGCAGAGTATTGGCTTCCTACCGTGAACATTTCCTATTTACCAGCTGGTAGAGATGAGCCAAACCAGATAGGAAAAAATTAGACTGCATTCAGAAGCTCATAAACACAAACTTCCAACGCAGGGACATGTGGGTACCGCTCACCTCCAACAAAGGCTGCTCCCTGCCGCCCGAGCGGCTGGGCCGGCTCCTCTACCCGGGCACTCACCTCCGACCAAAGACCATCCGCTTCTTTACGGAACATATGCACACTCTGCCTTTACCGAAAACTGAACAAGCTTGCATAAAAAGACATCCTAACGAGATCCAGGAAAATGGAGAGAAGAGAGCAGACAAAAAAATCACCGAAGAAGCCTGGCGTGGTGGCTCATTCCTGCAATCCCAGCACTTGGGAGGCTGAGGCAGGAGATCGTTGCAAGTTCGAGATTAGTCTGGGCTACTATGTGAGCTCAAGGCCAGCCTGAACTGCATGGCAAGACCCTGTCTCAAAAAGACAAAAAAAATCACTGAAGAAATCCAAAAGCATTGCTGGGATGGAGCAAAGTTCCAGCCTGGAATTTTCCTACAGCCGAGATGAGAGGGAAAGCTGCTGTTCTATACCTCACAGGCTGTGGATGCCTCCCCTATGTTTGATTTTAATTTTTTAAATGCTTACCTGCAAAACACAGCTTACAAGACCACTTACTGAGAAATGCAGACTGTCGACTAAAGAGATGTCCCCAAGTTATATGTCAAGTGATGCAAAACAGGTTCCAGAGCTACAAGAAGCACTGCCCATTTTTTGACTTTCCTTTCCAGATCACAGGCACAGGACACCAGCTCTCCCTTGGGCAGAGGTCAAGAATACTGGGGCCCCCAGCACCCCAGACCCAGCTCACCAGAGCATGGGCGGGCTGAGATGAATGGTGGGCTGCCACCACCTCCCCAGCACCCCGATCTATGTTGGGAATCACAGGAGGGAAGCGAGCAAAGGACAGCTTGACCAAGGAACATTTCCTAGACTGGCCGAGGCTGGGTCGGTCACAGCTATGGCACACAGCCGGGGCCAGTCCCAGGATGGGACCTGTCTGTCATCTTCTCCAGCACTTCCCAGCCGGGCGCTCCTCCCAAGACAAGTTCCTCTGGCCCCTGACCAGTGCCAGACAAGTCAGTGCACACAGCGCCTGGCTTCAGTGACGCCTACCTCTCTGCAGTGGCCTCTCCGGGCTCCCATGGCCCCCGCATCCACTGTGAACCCTCCAATGACAGGGCAGTAACAGCCAAGAAGGTGGAGATTCTAGAGGACCGAGTCAGCAGGAGGTGGAGGGGAAGAAAAAGGGGAGGGGAGTGGGCAGTCTCCAGCAAGGGGACCCGCCCCAACGAGTGTGGCACTGGTGTGGGGAGGAAAACCCTGAGTTCGCCTGGGGTGCACTGAGCCACAAGTGCCCACGTCACCCCCACAGCCGCTCCTTCTCCTAAAAGTAGATCCAGCTGAGGCCCGCAGGCACCGGCCCTGGGCCCTCCCCCTTCTTTCTTCTGTGCTTCCGTGAATCCCAAGATTGCATGAGCCCCGGAGGCACGAGCCCTGTAGAATGAACCTTCATCCAAGGCCAGCCTCCAGCTGCTGTCTTGTCTTCCATGGTGCCCAGGAGCTGCACAGACTTGGGGTTTATGAGCCGTATCACTCAGCTGACCTGCACGCTTCTCGCTCCAGTGCTCTGGGTCAAGGTGATTCTCCAACAAACACACGAGCTTCCAAGCACCCGCAGTGGATCGCTTACCTTGTGACACACCCCACTGTGGCATCTGGAGCAGGAGAGTGAGATCTTAGTGCTACTGCGTCCCCCGGATCCTCGGGGGCTCCACATACAAGCTCGGCAATGCAGGATGACGATGGGGTTAAGAGGGATCTGATGGGTTCCTTCAGGGCCTGATAACAGGTGCCCAACTGCAGCAAAGCCACCGTGACGACACTCAAGTGACTCCTGAAGACCGTTCTCCTCTCATGCCAACCCTCTGATCGACGCATCCTCTTGCCCTGGGCTTTAGGGTTAAAATCCTCAGATCTTTCTTGGTCTGCAGCCTGCCTCTCAAATGTGACCTGTCCCGATGTCCCTTGAGAAACGTGAGACCGCATGGACATGTCACAAAGTCTTGTCTCTCCAGTGTGTGGCCACGTCACCTCCGCGGTCTCTGCCTCTGTGCACTGTCCCTGGGCCACACTGCAGTCCCACCAGCCGACTCACGTGGCTTCCCCTGCCCTTCCTCACTGTGTGGTGATACCACTGTCCACACGCCTCACCTGCCCTTCTCATGAGCTCATCCCTGCCTGTTCCAGGGGAACTCTTCGACCAAACCTTATTCAGTCGCCCCACATCTATTTGCTGAGTATGTGTGGGTGCCAGGAACTGGTCAAAGCCCTGAAGTTCCAGGGGTAAGCGAGACAGACAGAAGGTGCCCGCTTCCCATGAAATATGCACTCTATCCGTGAACAAGCAAACAAGGAAGCCCCCCGAGGGTCCTGGAAAACAGACACTGCAGACGGAGCAGTCAGACTGCACCTCTCTGACGGCTCAGACAGAGCCCGTGGACCTCAGGGTGCAGCCGCACACCCTGGGGCTCCTCCTGCAGGGGTGTGGACAGCTCTGCCTCCTGTGGAAGAGAGGGTGCAGGGTGCCAGGGGACAGAAAAACCTGACAGCATGTTGCTGACAAGGCACAGACTGGAAATGCTGACCACGCAGGCCGTTAAGTCGGCCAAGGGGCAGAGAGAAGTGGCTGGGTCAGGTCCTGCCGGGAATACCGTAGAGGAAGCTGTGGATGGACACAGCACTGGCTGTGGGAGAGGAACTGGACCTCAGCTGCTGCCTGAAAAAATTGTAAGGGAAGAAAACAGGAGGAGGAAGGCTCCTTGGAGCGGGCCAGCAGGCCAACCGGAAGTCGTGCTCTGTCCATGGACAGTACTGCAGGGGACCCCGGAAGGAGCCATCAGTGTGGGCACCACAGAGCCTCTCATCCGTCTCCTTTGCAGCCTTAACCCACGCACCACCCTTTGGCTTTCCTCTCAAAGCACACGGCTCCTCCTCTTTGAGCAACTTCTCCTCCTTCCCACTCAGATCACAGCCACCTAGGGAACCCTGAGGTTCCACCGCGCAGTGTCACGGGCCAGCCTGGTCCCAGGGACAGCGAGGGCCAGGGCTCGGGCTGCCATCCAGGGAGCTCCAGGCAGCTTCCAGACACCGCTGCAGGTCAGTTCCCTCCCGTGGCCTGCAGGAACACGTTACTTAGAGAGAAGGAAGTCAGGGCTGGGCACTCAGCGGCTCAGGCACCCCCCTGGTAAGCGCAAAGTCATGAGTTTGATCCCTGGTACCAAAAAAAGAAGAAGAAAGATAAATTTAAGCCTGAAATGCCCATAAATTGTGATATAACCGAATCTCTGCTGAAGCTTCCTCATGAAGCCTCCAGTAAATTAATAATAGAGCCACCAAAAATAGGCCCTGGTATAGAAGTGCTCTAATTAATTTTTATATAAAACGGCAACTGATAGTTTTGTGGTGTGAGATCCTTGAGATCAAAACGCAAGCGCCACTCTTATTTAGCTGCATGGAGACACTTGGAGAAAAGCTGTGACATTATTAATCACTATGTTCAGTTATGATTGATAGGCTTTTCTGCGGGGAGGAAAAAGTGCCACAGATACAATCTGTCCCAACAGCTCCGAGATATGCTAATATTTTCTTCAGCTGAAAGGGGAGATGTGTTCAAATACCTGCCGGGACCGCAGTCAGTCCCGAGTGCAGCAGAGGTGGGCTGCCGGGCGGGTGGGGGTTCAGGGATTAGCCGAAGCCTCCGCGTTTTGGTAAACGGCCTGCCTGCAGCCTTTCTGTTGGGCAGGAGGACTGCGTTCCCTCACACAAATGTGGCGTGGGGAGCGCTAAGGTGGTTAAGAGCTGGCATTGATCCTAACAACTGCTTCCTCTATTCCTCCGGCAATCGGTTTTGTTGTTGTTGTTGTTGTTGTTGTTGTTGTTGTTGTTTTTGTAATTTCTTGTTCTGGGGGAGATCGGCCTCCTGGGGAGAAGACCCGTGGACCCCCCCCCACCTTTGTCTCTTCTCCGTGAGGATGCGGGAGCTGGCAGGCAGCTTAGCACCTCTGCTTGTTACTAATTGCCTCCGAAATGACTCAGGCTGCCTGGACACAATGCCGAGCACGCGGCAGCCCCATAAAGATGTGTGCGGGATCACTGGCGTCCGAGGCACACGCTAGGCACGGCCGCCGGGGTGGACCAGGTGTTCCAGCGTCATGGTGCCCGGGCCTTGGGGCACTCTTCTCTCTCCGGGGTTTCTCTTGCTTGGATGGTCAGGATGAGAGTGGACACCCGGGGCTCCAGATCTCTGTCTCCCTTTTTATGCTCCTTTAACTGCATTCTCCATCCTTACAGTCTAGTAGTCAGCTAGCTCGGTTTCCCTGTGTGCCAGGAAAAGGAGGATTTGCGTGTTGTTTGTTTGGTTTCTGTAGTGCTGGGACTGAACTCGGGGCTCCCCCTGAACCATGTCCTCAGCACCCGCTGATTTTATGATTTTGAGACAGACTCTCAGTAGATTGCCTGCCCTGGCCTTGGACTTGGGATCTTCCTGCCTCAGCCTTCGGAGTACTGGGGTCCCAGGCAGGTGCTGCCCCACCCAGCTTAAGGCCTGGCCTCTGCAAACACGCATGGCGTCCTCACACAGTCACAGCGGCTCCTACTGCTCAGTAACCTCTCAGCTGGCCCCTGGCTATCTCCAGGGCAGGGCGGGGTTTCTTTCTTCCTTCTCCTCCACCTCCACTCCGTGTGGGAACCCACGGATGACAAAACGGGAAGACAGAAACTCAGTACCCGGCCACACACCAGAGCTCTGCTTTACCCCTTCCCTTCCCTGGCAGATTCCTCCCCTCTGGAAGTGAACAGACTATCCATCACAGGTCTCGGACTTGGCCGCCAGCCCAGGCTGGAGTAGGGGCCCAGGGTAGGCAGGGAGCTGGGAAGACACAGGAGAGCGCGGAGCGGACGGTGGCAACCGATGAGAAGCCCTCGTCCAGATACGGGCTCAGGTGGGTGCTAATGGGCGAGAGAGGATCACAAGCTCACGGCTGCTGGATGCTCTCACAGGTGGAGCCGGCCAAGGGCTACATCGGCTGGGTGCAAAGGTGCCTGCAACCCCTTTCCCCTGGTGCTGCTGGAGACTGCTGGGGGCAGAACCGCGGCTTCTCCACCAGCAGCGTGTCCTCTGCCAGTCGGGTCCCCTCTGTTCCCAGTCTGCCCTGTGGAGAGCAGCCACACCTCCAGGGCCTTCTCCCACAAGTGCCATATTTCCTAATTTATTACTTTTTTGCAGCACTAGGGGCGGGGGGGGGGGGTTGAGCCTCTGCACTGAGCTACGTCACCAGCCCTTTCCTCACTTTCTCATTTTGAGACGGGGTCTCCCTAAATCACTAAATTGTCCAGGCTGGGCTCAAACTTACAATCCTCCTGCCTCAGCCTCCCAGGAAGCACTAGGAATTCCTAGGAAGTACTCAATGCATGCTGGCTGTTGTTATTACTAAGTTGGCAGTTTGCGGGGTTGGGGTACAATCTGGGCTGTAAGATGTGGGGAAGCAGATTTTTGAAGACTCATATTGGAGGACACTATACATTAGGACATGCAGAGTATCTGCATGTCACGCCTGGAGCGGTGGCAACACCTTGGCAGCCCAAGGAGATGCGGGCTGGTCAGCCCTGCACCCCGAATCCACCTCCTTCCTTCTTGCAGGCAACTAGAAGCTCCTGCTGGCAAAGCTGGTGAAGCCTCACCTGCTCCCCCACAGCCTGGTGCTGGAGAAGGCTTGCCTGGGGAGGGCCTGTGGGAGAGCCAGCTTAGTCCCACAAACTAACCGGAAGGCGAACACGCACCGTCCTGCATGCCAGAGGCTTGGCTTGCTTTCTTGTCTTCTTCCTTGTAGCCCTGAGTAACTCAGAATGGTCCAAGGCCTGTCCTAGAAGCAGCCAGGACCCTCTGCCTGGAGGGGCCGGCAGCCCTGAGTCAGTTCTGGCCCACGCCCCAGTAGGGAGCCTCAGCTTCCCCCGATTTAACTCAGGACCTTCCAGAATGGAAGCCCCCCCTGAGAGCTGACGGCTTCCTCCTCCACCAGTGCTGTGGGACCGGCAGTGGCTCCTCCCGTGAGGACACAGGAGAGGCCACCCCACCTGGCCTTCTCTGCGGACTCTCAGAAGCTGCGGCTCAGACAGCTAGGGCACCGGGGGAGAAACAGGAATGCATCGGAGGCTGAGAAACCCGGCTCCTTGCACAGGAACAAGGAAAGACAAGCAGCGGACTCAGGGAATCACAAGGGTGGCTGCTCAGAGCTCCTGTGCTGCTCGCTGGGTATTTCTAATCACACACAGCCTTCGAGGGGCCCTGTCACCTCCCCAGGGACAAGGACATGCCTCAAGCCACCTGGCCGGCTGATGGCAGAGCCCAGGACAGCACCTGGGTCTGAGATCTGCTGTATCCCCCACCTGGCTGCCAGTCAGGGCGTGAGCAAGGTGGGCTGCTGTGTGTGCTAGACCGAGCGACTGCAGGGGGTGACCACAGGGGCTGACAAGTTCTCTCACGGATGGCTCCTCTGCCTGGACCTTGGCCCGTCCACTCAGGAAAAGCCTGGAGGACTGCACCGTTTCCACCCTTCTGGGGAGGCTTCCCGTGGGGAGAGGCTGGGCGGAAAGGAATTAAGCGGAAGGCCTGACCACAAGGGAGCTTGGTCTCACAGCTGCTCATATCGGCTTTAGTGCTGGTCATCACAACGGCCGCCAGCGAAGCGATGCTTTGGTATCTACCTGCAGCGATACCATGCTGTCAGGACAGACGCTGTAAACCGCTGACTGTCCCAGGATGCACTCGCAAATCAAACAGTACCACTCGTACCCCGGATTTCTAACAGAACAACCAGCGGACCATAACCGAAGAAAGGAATAATTCTGTCAAGGTCCCTGCTGGTGCCAGCTACAACCAAACAGGTTTTCAGGCATGCATAACGCTATAAAAATCATCACATCAAGATGACTTGTCTGGCGTTCATGGTCGCAGCCAGGAAACTTGAAGCAAACATTTTGCGCCTCTCTGGGTATTTTTGATTTCAAAATGTAGGAAAGTCTCAGAAGAGTTCAAAAAAGAAGAAAACTTGTCACATTTCAAACCAACATATTGCATCAAATAAATTAAAACAGGATTCTCAAACTGCTCGGATAAGTGACAGGCTCAAATGCATTTTAAAAAGGCAGCCGATTCCAAGCCCTTGGTGACACTGCCATCTCCTCCTCCCGTCGTCTTGAGCTGGAGCCGAGACCTAACCATCAGGGGCGCAGACAACGCGGCCACAGGCCTCCTCGGAACGCACACTGCGCTCCTGTGGCTAAATTACTCCGGGCTTAAATATGGATCGCTTCAAGCTGGCCTGGCTATTTTTACCCTGCTGCACTTGATTGGCATTTACTGCTGCAAAGCAGTCGTTTCCGCCTCCTCCTCTCAAGGAAAAACCTGCTCAGTCTTACCACGAACACAGAACAGCCCTGCTAATAAACAGATGCACAGTGAATGCGAACGTGAGGAGGATTCCAGGACCTCTGCCGGGGCTGCTCACCAGAAGGGACGCCACATACATGGGCCTGTGCTGTGAGCCTCACTGAGCCAGGCGGCTTTGATGGGAGAACCCGATGACAAGGCGGGGCCTGGGTCCTGTCATCTCCTGGGCCGATAAACTGTGTTTTTAAAGATTGCCCTTACCTTTTCTCCAATTTGGATCTCAAGTTCTTTCAGGGTCCGGCAGCTGTCCATTTCATGCCCTCCTCCCCTTAAAAATAAAAACATAATATCTTTGCAAAGATGTTTGACCAAACATCTGCTAAACATGAACCAAAATGTTTCTGCAGGACTTACAGAGAGGGCAGAGGTTTCTAAACATCTATTCATAGAATGACACTGACACTTATTCCCTATCTGGTTAGTGAGGGAAGGAAGCGGGTTACAACACTGGTGAATCCACCCTAAATGAGCACCAGGAGGGGCCGGTGAGAAGGGGAGGAGAGGCATTGGCTGGGGTGTGGCCGGAAGGTGCACTTCCTCCCCCTCCTCCCTCCTCCCTCTGCTTCCTGGCCCCATTGCTGTGAGCAGCTTTTCCTCCCTCAGAGCCTTCCACCCCACCTTCCTGCCTGAGAGCCGACTGAAACCGTGAGCCAAAATAAGTCTCAAGTGTTGGGTGTGCGTCCCAGCAATAAGAAAGTGACTAAGAGAATGGCCCATTCCATCTTGTGGGGGCCTCTGGGTCAGGGACCACCGCGGTTGTCATGGTTTATGGCCTCATGCTTTGCACTATGCATCTGTGACTGGCTCATTGTCTAGCGCTCGGATGGGGGTGTGAGTGCTGCACTGGCCCAGGGCTGGAGCCAGGATGTGATATAATGGCAGGAAGAAGGTGTGTCATGAGCTCTTGCCAGGTTTCACCGTGCTATTTGCAGCCGCCATGAAAGGCGGCCCCGCCATGCCACCCTGCCTCGGAGCCAAATGAGTGTTACTGAAACCTCCAAAAAACTAAGAAATAAACCTTTCCTTTCCCAACTTTGGGCTTCAGGTATTTTGTCTCACCAATGAGTAAAAAGTAACTAAGACACCTGTCCTGACCTTACCGACCTGGAGCCAATGGCCTCCCCAGGAAGGAGGATGGAGGTCGACAGGAGCAAGGACAGGCGATGGGCTCAGACTCGGCTGCGCGTCCTTCCTGCTGCACTGCAGGGCTCCGTGTCCTCACAGGAAGGACGTGACAGCTGATGTGAGTCCGCACCATACCCCGGCCTTCACTGACCAGCAGGACGCTGTCATTTATCGGTAACGGTGACAGATGGCACATAAGTAAGGTCAAATACCAACGGTCCGTGAAGAAAATAAACGTATGCAGAGGGATAAAAAAAGAGTCAGGGAAGATGGGATGACTCTTGGACAGGATGGGCAACAAAAGCCTGGGTGAGGGGCTGGGGATGTAGCTCAGTGGCAGAGTGCCTGCCCAGAAAAGCCTGAGGTTGTAAGTTCGATTCCTGGTACCAAAAACAATTTTTTTTAAAATAGCTTGGTGACCAAGTGCCATGGAAATGCTGTGGGGTGACAGAGCTCTCCAGGACACACAGCAGCAGTGTGCAGCTGAGCACTTGGCACATCCAGTGTCAGCAGGCAGGAAGCAGGGAGCCAGCGCTGGAGGAGCAAAGAGGCGCCCTGCTGAGTTCAGACGCCAGGGGAAGAGGCCGCCTCGGTGCGCTCTCTGCCACATGAGGATCTGGACTCCAAACTAACGGCAGAAGGAGCTGCACATCATCAGAGCAGGAATTAACCTGCATGTCACCTAGGAGACTCCAAGGCTCAGAGGGCTGAAGGGTCTTCCTTAAAGACAGGACTGGTCAGCAGTCCAATCTTACGATGTGATGGTAAGTGTAATATTTTAAAATTGTTGTAATGCTATATCCAATAGATGCAAACCACCATGACATACTGTCATGATTTGGACCTGGGGTGTCCTGCACAAGTCTCACGTGCTTGGAGAATGAGTGGATCGTGGGACCACGGCACCCAGCAGCATCCACAGCTGACTTGCTGTTGGGAGGCGGGGCCTGGTTAGAGGCGGGTCCCAGGGGTGTGGCCTGGGAGGGTTAGGCCCCCTCCTGGCCCTTCCCTTCTCTGGCCGCTTCCTGACCACCATGATGTGAGCAGCTCCCCCTCGCTTGCTAGGCCCTTCCATCATGCTGTTTTGCCTGTGGGCCAGCCATACATGAGCCAAAAACCTCTAAACTGTGAGTGTGAATGAACCTTTCTTCAAGTTGTAGGTGTCTCAGCAAAGGGAAAAGATGCATAAGTTTCAGTGCTAAGAATAAAAATCAAATGCCCATGTAGCCACCACCCAGCTAAAGACACGGCACGGTGCCAGTGACTCGGAACTCCAGCAGACACGGGCTTCCTGCAGTCCCCTGCCTGCCTCTCTGCCCGCCAGCAGGCCCAGTGCATGGGGGCCTGGACTGGACTCAGCTGCTCCCTCTACCCACACTTTTTACCCCTAATAGACCTCTCTCCCCAAATTCTATCTCACTCTGTACTACAGAAGAACCTCACCCATAACATCTGTGATCAGATACCACTTTAGTGACATTAGGTCTCTGCAGATTATCACTGAATGGGGTGGCCTTTAAAATCCTTCTCATACTCTGTCATGCTTATATAGTATTTAGGATTTTCTCTTGGTGGGATCTTTCTAGTTGCTGTCTAGTCAGACAATCTTTGTCTTTTAAACAGAACATTTATTATAATTAAATGCTTATGACTCAAATCTATTTTGCCTGAAATTAACATAGCTACCTCCACTTTAGTTTCTTTTACTATGATATATTGCTTCCCCCTATTGTATCTTTCGACCTACTTCTTTTTATGAAATATTCTATTTTTCAAAGCCAGTAGCTGTACTTTTTATGTAGTCTGATATTCTCTGTCTTTTAACTGGAATATTTAATCTTTTTACATTTAATGTTTTATAATGTGCATATAAGTACAGGTCCATAAATTTGTGTTATTTGTACCATCTGTTCTAGATTTTTCTGCTTTTATCTTAATCTTCTCTTAAATTGAGTGTTTTTAAAAATCATTTCAGTGAGCTAGCAGTGGCCATGCCTCCCAGGAAGAGAAGAGAAAAGACGCTAACGCCTTCCTGTGAGCCAGTGCTGGTTGTGGGCCAAGGCAGCACAAGGGAGCCAGCAGCAGCCATGTATCCCAGGAAGAGAACCAAGAAAAAGCCAACCCCTTCCTGTGAGTCAGCCAGCATGCGGGCTGGGAGACAAGAGGTGCTGAGACCAGCCCCAGCCTGCACCAGGCAATTGGCCGATTTGGAGAAGCACAGACTAAGAAGATAGTTACTGAAGTAAAAAAACAAAACGAAACTTAATGTCTGCATTGTTTGACTGACTTCATAGGTTAAAGGCCAGCAGTCTGAGCATCTATTTAGAGGACAACAATATGCAGTGTAGCATCTATCAGGGATCTTCTTCTGAGGGTGGTGGCCATTGTTAATTCCCTATTTGAAGTCCTGTATCATTATCATTGTTTTGTTTTGATTGCTTTTATTCTGTTCTGTGTTGCTTTATTATGTCTGATGGTATGGGCAGCTATTTTGAAGACAACAAGAAGCATTATGGTACCCGTTGTTGACTTCCTGTTACCTTATTTTGAAGTCCTGTATCATTTTCACTGTTTGTTTGTGGTACTTTTCAGGGGAGCCCTGGTCCTTACTTTACCCTTTCCTGGGCTCCGGAGGGGAAGATGTGTGCTGTTTAACCTCCAGGAGAAGCTTGTCACCCGGGCTTCCTGGTGGGGACTCAGCCGTTATCATCGAGGAGCTCAGAACCTCCCTGTCACTGAGCACTGCTGTGGTACTTTTCAGGGGAGCCCTGGTCCTCACTTTGAGCGCTGCTTCTTGGCTCCAGTGAGGAACCCTCAACCCACTGGCACAGACTTTCTAGCTGCCACTGCTGACCGCTGGGCCTTCCCAGCGCAGATCCATAAAACAGACTGGCGTGAGTCACTGTTGTGGGCTCTAGGCCTCCCGGGGACCCCTGGGAGCACTGTCATGGGCTCTAGGTCTTCAGCTGGACTCATGCAGGACACTGCTGTGGGATCCAGGCCCTCAGCGGGATTTTCTAGGTTTTTAGTGTTGAGGACAGACTTCCTGCACTTTCCTGTGTTTGACTCTGGGCGACCACCCTAAAATAGTATTATAAATTCCGTGTCCTGTGCGGTCTTGTTCTCCTTCCAAGCCCTGATGACAACGACCTGATGTGCAGAGGGGATTTTCCTCAGCACGTGGCTGAAAATATCCCACGTGTCCATCAGAGTCGACACTCACAGGCTCAGTGTGCCCCTTCCGGCAGAACAGTTCTGGGGTGCTCCCGAAAGACGGCTGCTGCTCCTGTTAATGCAGAGCCGAGGCGCTCGCGCTGCGCACAGCCGTGGGTCCGGCTTCTGCCCTTCCCAGCTCCTGCAGTCACAGGCAAGAAGCCTCCTCATCACTCAGATCCAAACACCTCGGAAGCAAATCAACCTTTTCAGTCCTCACGCTGCCTCGTGGTTGGCCCCGCCCGGCATATCCAGGAGCCTCTCCGAGCAGCCCTGGGCTCAGGCAGTGTAGAACCATGATCCACCAGGCATATTTCTGGGAGGGCGGGCTAGAGCCAGACTGCTGAATGCTACCGCCATGAATACAAGATATTCCCTCAGCCTTCCCCTGTGTGACAGTGCAGCTAAGAAGGCTGTCACCGGCACTGGTGCCTTGGTGTGGGACTCTCCAGCCTGCAGAAACGTGAAGCATAAGTCTTTGTTCTTGAGAATCACCCAGGCTTACCGTTCTGGTACAGCAGCACAGACAAAGAAGGAAACCTGGGCAGAAGGTCCCAAGGCAGAAGTTCCTCTCGGGCCTCTCACTGCTGGCTCTGTATTTATATCTGTCTTCCTGTGCTGCGTTCTGGATAATCTCTTCAGGTCTATCTTCCACTCCATGAATCCTCTTTTCAACCACGTTTACCATTATGTTCGGCTGTCCGCTGAGTTTTATATCTACAGTTACTGTATTTTTCAGTACCAGAAGTTCCATTTTAATTTTCCTCAGCATAATTATATTTATTCTCCAAAAGTCTTACAGTCTGTCCGTAAGTTTGTTTTCCCAGCTAGATATTACCAAGAACACCACCCTTGTCTCCTGGTATCACCGGACAGTGATGTAAAACCACTGCCGAACCCTTTCCGCCGGCTGGGCTGCCCTCTGGCTGACTCTGTAAGGTAGGCAGGCAACAGGTCGGTGCCGTAGTTTACAAAACACTCCTGTAGAAAAAAGTGTAAACATAACCCACTCTGCCAAAGGATTCCTGAATACACACACACAAGCAAAAACAAAAACAAAAAATCCTTCAGTAAATAAACTTTTACCATAAAAAAAATCAACAGAGTGCCAATTCTATGACAATCACCAGGCGTGGTGGCTCATATCTGTGATCCCAGGATTCAGGAGGCTGAGGCAGGAGGATCAGTGTGAGCTGGAGTCCAGCCTGGGCTACAAAGTGAGCTCAGGGCCAGCCTGAGCTGCACAGTGAGACCCTGTCTCCAAAAGACAAAACAGACTGGGGATGTAACCCAGTGGCACAAGCGCCTGCCTGTGGTGTGAGGTCCTGAGTTTGATCCCTGATACCAAAGGGAAAAGAAAAGGAACTGACGAGGCAGCCTGGTACGGCCCGAGCCTCCTCCTCGCCCTGCAGTGCAGATCTGAAGCAGTCCCACAGAGGGGCAGGAGCAGCGGGCAGACTCTCATCCCAGCCTTTCAGGGTGCTCTGGGGTTGACATGCAGCGTTTTTGATGAATCCATTCATTCCGTGGAGGTTCCTTACACAGAGCTGAGTCGTAGCTAATACACGCCAGAAAGTTCGCAGTCATTAGGTCTCTGTCCACTGGCGTCCAAACTTTTTAGAAAAATCTTCCTCCTGGGGTTCAGCCCCTTGCTGAGACCTGCTGTAACCGGGGAGCGGTTTACCATGACTGCCAGAGCACCCGCAGAGGGTTCCCACTCCCTGGGCTGGGGAAGGGGCGAGGAACTCTCTGAAGAAGCGAGTGAGTCCCTGGCCTGCTGCTCGCTCCAGAGCTGCTTCTGTGCCTCCATGACGGGGAGGCTCTCCCACAGCCTTCAGAGGACGGCAGCTTTTCCCTGGTGTCAGCACTGTCCTCTGTCTCCAGGGAACCTGCAGGAGAAGAGGAGGCCTCTCTTTTTACTTCTTTAAACATATGAGACCCTCCGGTTAGATGATCTCTCTGATAGCTCCACCGTTTCAGGCATTTGCACTCAGGGTTCTACTGCAGGTCGTACTTTTGGGTATGAGTCCTCATTCTTTGTTTCCTCCTGTGTTTTTAAGATTGTGCGTTTGTGTGTGTGTGTGTGTGTGTGTGTGTGTGTGTGTGTGAGATCTGACATTACGTGGCACTTTATCTGCAGGGATTCTTTCTTTCAGAGCTAGGTGGCAGAGTCATCAGCCCTCTACAAAAGGCACACATCATCCAGAATGGCTTGTAAATCAAGCCCTGGTCTCAGACTTTTCAGGCCAGACAGGTAACATTAATTCAGACCGAGCCCTGCGTGGAAATCAACTTGTAATTACCATGTCTCCGCTGCTCGCTCGGTGCCGGTGTGGGCACAGGTGGGTTTCCTGTCAGCTCCTCTATTTGTACGTTTGCTCACTCGAGCGCAGCTGCCCTGGCCGCACACGCAGGCCCCGCGCTGCTGGCGTCCCCCACCTGAGCTGGCGCCCTGGGCGTTGTCTCCTGTGCCCTTTAAGAGAGCAAGTGTCCTTTCTATCTAAATCCCTGGATTCAGGCTGCACGACACGACACGGACTGAAAAGCGCCCCCTGCTTTCAGTTTTTCCAGCCGTTTAGTTTTTCTGGCCAAGAATATGTAGATGAGGTTATGATCCACGCAACAACCTTACCCCACAAACGGGGAAGCTTTTAGGTCAAGAGCATGAAGACACAGTCTGTAAAGCCACTACCATTATTTTGAGTGAGCCTGAAAATGATCTGGGACCCAGGCTTAAGGGGCAGGCACTACGGGGCACACAGGCCTTCCCGATCCCAGAGCGTCCCTGAGCCCAGTTCCCACTGCTGTCATGGGAAACCTGAGACTTGGAACTTAATGAATAAAAAAGGTAGATTTTGACATTTTGGCTTGTAGTTCTAGAGCCCTGAAAGTTCACGACAGCCTTTGAAAGCGGCCCCGTGGTGAGGGCCTCACGCTGCTTCCACACACAGCCAGGCGGGGTGCAGGGGCCCCCAGAAGAGAGCCGTCAGTGGGCTGTCCTTGTTCTGTTACAGCTGCTCAGGCGGTGACTAGCCCAGTCCCAGGAGAGGCAGGGCAGCGCTCATGCGCATGAGCACGGTGCTTTCCTTCCGAGGGCTCTGCCGCTGACCGGGGGCCCCCGCCAGCCCCCCACTCGGGTCGCTGACACAGCCTTCGCCATTCTCACCGGAGATGCCGCAGGAGTTATTTTAGCTGTGATTTTATAAAGCACGTAACAAAATTTACCATCTAATCATTTTACGTGCACGATTCAGTAGTGTTAGTATGTTCATGCTGTTGTGTGAAAGACCCCCAGATTCCCGCACCTGTAAGTGCCCTCCGCAAATCAGCTCCCCGTCTCCCCGCCGCCCTGATTCTCACACCTAAGCCGTGGTGGTGACACAGTCACTCAGGACAGCAACACCGGGGACAGCAAAATCGGCTACCATTTCAGGACCAATCTAACCCTTGTCAACGTTTGCTTGACTCCTGGAAAGATTCACTTTACTCATTTTGAGTTAGGTAATTGGCAAACGTTATTAAAACAGTATTTCCTAAATCATTCACTAGGAGCAAAGGACTCTGCTGCTTCCAGAAACACAAAGGTCATAAACGGCATCAAGGTCACTCTGAAAACAAGCCCCTGCTCGGCTGCAGCCAGGAGACACTAAGGGAGCTCCAACAAGGAGGAGGCTTAGCTTTCCCTTTCTGGCCCCCAGAAAGTGGTCACTTCCCAGGAACAACACCGACAGTGTACAAAAGCCAACGGACTGAAACTTTGGCTTCTTAATGTTTCACTTTGAAATTAAAATCCATTATTTCCAAATCTGAAACACATTGCATGACGTGTATTGGCATCTGTGTGTATCTGACTTCTGCTTGTGTTTACATTTCATTGTTATATCACATCTCTAATTCTGAAATTTATGGTATATAGGTGTCAGAACCATCTCTAAATAGAATGTTGCTGAGATTAAGTCCACTAAACTTATATGGACAAGCTCCGCCAACTCGTCCACATCAGCCAGATTCCCTGTGGCCGGACAGCACCCAGCAGTGTGGCCCGGCTCACGGCTTCAGCAGGCTCAGTCTGCGGTCAGCTGGCTGCAAGGCAGGAGCAACATGGCAGGAGAAAACGGAGAAGCAGGCTTCATGGCATCCGGGGAGCACAGCAGGGCAACAGAGAGAAGGGGTCAGGACCAGATGGAGACCGCAGGTCACGCCCTCGTGGCCCCCAGACACACCCTGAAGCGCGCTTACCAATGCCTAGGGTGACCCGAGCCAATCAAGACCACACAATTTAGCTTATGTGTGACACCATGCTTCACAGAGATACGGAAACCCGGGGACACGATTAGCTTAATGACTCTGTCATGGCCTGTACCGCTATTTCAGATTTCATATTTCCATGTGAACAAACAAAACACTTACCTCTTTATAACATTTATGTTTAGATCACTTCCGCCAAACTTAGACAGGAACTCAAGGTAGGGCACATTGCCGGAGCCGGTGAGAGGGATCTATACTCCAACAAGAAAAGTGACGGCGTGTTAGGGAGGTCAGGCCCAGGCACTGGACCACGTGGCAGGTTTCCTGATCACAGTGCCACGGAGAAACTACTAATGGAACGGCATTCTGCTAACCCTTTACCAGCTGTCCCGGCCGACAGGTATAGATAAAGGTCAGTCTGTGCTCAAAGTCAGTGAGTGAGCTACAAAGTTAACATTTAATGCTAAATCTAAAATCTACCTTAAATAAAATTAGGATAATATATTCTAATATTCCACATACGTCTTAGAAGCTGAGGCAGAGTTCAATTTTACACTCTGAGCGTCGTATGAACTTTCTGTAGTCATACTGCTTCAGGGCAAAACGTCATTTTAAATTTAAAATTCTGTAAAGGGTGCTGTTGGGTCCAGTGGGTCCATCTGAACCGGAAAGTAAATGAAAGTGTGAGCTCACTGTTTAATTTACTAAGGCTGGTGGGTGTGCTGTGCTTTTATGTAAGAGATTAGTTCTCATCAGGAAACAGGAGATGCGACCAGAAATAAGATGTTATTTCTAATAATGCGACACATAAATAAGACGTTATGGTAAATAAGATGTTACACACTGCCATCAGCCCCCCGAAAGCTGCCCCTAGCTTCAAGCACAGCTGTCCTGGGTCCTCGCCACTTTCTGCACAGCTCTGGGGGTGCTCTTTCATGAGTGTTTTGAGTTGTTCTGTCCTAGCTGCCTTAATGTCCTGAATCAATTCAAAACATTTACCCCCACGGTCACTGTGACCTTTGGGAAGAACCAGAAGTCACCCAGGGCGACATGTGATGAGGTGGTGGACGAGCACCCGCCATGCTGTCCCAACCCGGCTTTCCGTGCCCACTGACAGCATTCACTGTGTTTCCTGCTGCGCCGTGTAGACGCACACCGTGTAGACGCACACCGTGTAGACGCACACTTCAGAGCCGCTGCCGAGGGGGCAGTGCGGTGGAGGAGTGTGATCAGCATGGGGGCGCACTCTGAGGGGCTTCATCGTCTTGTGTCTTTTATTGCAACAAAAATTTTTCATTATTTTTCAGTATCAGTATCAAACTCATGACCTTGCGCTTATGCCACTGAGCTACATGCCCAGCAAAAATTTTTAAATTTAAACATTCACTATATATTTCAATCACCCCTTGCCTACACTGAACTGTTTAATTTTGAAGAGCTGTGATACAAGCAATTTATCCAATTATGTTTTAGAAATAGTATTATGGGGCTGGGGATTTAGCTCAGCAGCATAAGCGCCTGCCTTGTAAGCAGGCAGTTGTGAGTTCGATCCCCCGTACCAATAAAAAGGAAAAAAAGACAAAAAAAAAAAAAAAAAAGAAAGAAAGAAATAGTATTATATACATGTTGAGTGTGTTTGTGACACACATGTACACACAGAGATAAGAGAGATCACAGGAGGAGCAAACCAAACACAGTGTTCATGACAGGGTTAGTGCTCGTGACAGGCTGTCCTGGGGGAAGTGTTTCTCTGTACCATTCTTTTTTTTTTTTCATTTTTATCGGTACCGGGAATCGAACTCACGACCACCTGCTTGCAAGTCAGGCACTTATGCTGCTGAGCTAAATCCCCAGCCCCGCTCTGTACCATTCCTACAGCACAATTTCTAAAGGTTGAAATTACTTCTAAATAAGAAGTTACATTTTTTAAATAAACATAATTGTTCAAAAAAGCTTCATGAATCTAGACTGCAAATAAGAAGCATTTTTCTCCAACAGGGCACAACCACCAGGCCCAGAAGGGAATGTTTTTTTCCTTCTTTCTGTGGGATCTGTTTACCAATCAACTTGCAAAGCCGTCCGTGGGAAATGCCCCGGGGAATAAGGCCACATTTAAACACACAAAATGCCCATTAGGTTTAATGGAAAAGCAGGGAACTAATGGAAACGGGGCACGATATGGGCGAAGTTTCCTCGTCCTTCACGTCCTAGCCAACCATGAAAACACTCTGGAACAATGTGGGAGCTAAAGGAAACGCAGCCTGGAACTGGAGGGTGGATCCCCGGGAAACCTTTCGCTAGAATTGTGGGTTTCCACTTGGGCTTCCATTAATCTGTGAGAAGTGAGTTCGGGTCACCACGTGGATTTGTCACAGAAAGATCGAGGGAAGGGGGATTCAGCTCAGCGGCACAAGCCCCTGCCGGCAAGCGCAAGGTCATGAGTTCAATCCCCGGTACCATAAAAACAAAAACAAACAAACAAACATAAACCTGCAAAGATCTAGGGAAGCCTGTACAGGCCAGGGACAGAGCAAGGACAGTGGCCACCACAGCCCCTGATGGGCCACAGTCCCCCACTGGCCAACGGGTCCCCTGGTGAAGCACACTGCTCAGGTCCTTCCAGGGAGCCTGCCAGCCCTGCTCTTCCCCAGGCTTGGAAGTTCTTGAGTGCTCAGCGACTTCGAAAAACAGATGTAGCTTTTAAAAACAGACACGCATTTCATATTTTCTGTACTTTTTCTCTTCCTGCATAGCTGATTCACTTGGGAAGATTGTCAACATTTTAAATTCGCATTAGATCATCCCTACAAGGACATGAAACAGGAAATATTATTTTAACTCTCCGCTTGGCACAATGCTTCAGCTACACGGGTCCTCTGAGGGACCCCAGGCAGGGCTTCACCTGAAGGCACACGGTCTTTAGAAGGAAGAGAAGGTGGCCTGTGACTCAGCAAATGCTCTCTGAGCCCGGGGCCAAGAAAACCCGAAACACGGCCCATGCAAATGCTAGGACGTCGGTGGTCACAGAGCAGCCACGACAGTTGCAAAGTGAAAACAGTCCCAGGTCGTCAGCTGATGAAAGGCCAACACCATGCTCACGCAGTGGACTGCTGCTTGGCCATTAAAAGGAAAAGAGTGACCCTCATGAGCAACGGAAAGGAAGCCAGACACCAGAGACCCTGAGCTGTGTGACCGTTCCTGGGAAATGCTTAGAATCTGCAGGGACAAAAGGGAGCTGAGCTCTCTCTTGGTACAGGCAGGAGAAAACGCGAGTATCCCCTAGGAGTACGGGGCTTCCTTCTGGGTGCGGGAAGTGGTAACAGTGCACGGTTGTGGATACATTAGGCATACACCTGCACCCCTGCAATCCCAGCACTCGGGAGGCTGAGGCAGGAGGATTGTTAGGAACTGAGAGCAGCCGGGGCTACAAAGTGAGCTCAAGGCCAGCCTGAACTGCACAGACCCTGCATGAGACCCTGTCTCAAAAAGACAAAACAAGCAATAAAGGGTGGCATAAAAGGCTGTATGTCTGTCTCTTTGTGAAATTCTTTGAGCACATAAAGGGGAAGCATTAAAAAGGGGAAGGGAAAGGTCGCTTGCCTCCTTTCCCCGTCCCTAACACGTAGGGGCAGTCATGGGACGCAGGGGAGGACGGGGTCTAGTGTTGGCAGCCGGGGTATCCACAGGGGGACCTGGGGTGGGGTGGCACTGTCACAGTGGGGTGCAGAGGAGCAAAAGAAGTGTTGAGTCACAGAACAGGGAGGTTGGTCAAACAGGCAAACACCAAGAACAAGGGGAGAAACTCTCTCGCCCAGAGCGAGCGAGTCACAGACAGGAAACAGGGAGGTGCGCGTGATCCCGGCGGGCTGGGCTAGGACTGAGGACACCGATGTGAACTCGGGGTTTCAGTGCATAAAGACCACACAGACATACATGGAGATCTAAACGCGGGCAGGCATGCAGGTGGGGACGAGTGGATCCCCCAATGGCACGAACCTCTCCAGGGCCAGATCCTGGCTCCTCCACACCTTCCACTCCAGCTAGTTTAAATCTAGCAACTATATGGATCCCGTGATTAGACAACGTTTAAGTATGTGTGGAACAGATGAGTGTGTGAATCTGCCATTGTACGTTTTAGGAAATCACAATATAAAAAGGATTTCTGGTGAAAATGTAGCTGTCTGAATCAAAGTCCAAGCAAGCGGAAAGTATGTGCCACGTGTGAAGACTTAAGGAATGACCAGAGTGTTACATAGCTTATGAATAATTTATCAGCGATTATATATTTAAACATTTTCATACATTTGGTTAAACCATTATTAAAATTAATTTCAGTGACTTTTATCTCTTCACGTGGCTATTAGTAAATTTTAAATCACAAATATGGCTCACATTATTTATCCTTTGCACAGATCTGGGCTGGGATATCTCCCAAGTGTGCTCCTGTGTGTGAACCACCATAGGAATATGAGCCTTTTCAGGGTAAAAGGTAATAACCTAGACCAGCTCCAAGGTGAACCACACACTGGACTTACAGACAAGGACTGTAAAGCTGCTATTTTAGCTGTGCTCAGAGGTAAGTAAACGGGTGCATAACTGAAGAAAAGGCAGAGAGCATAAGCGAGTAAACAGAAACTATTACAAGGAACCAAGCGCCCCAGGCGTGGAGGAACATGCCTGTAACCCCGGCCACGTGGGAGGCTGATGCAGGAGGATGGCAAAGTCAAGGCCAGCTGGGGCCACAGATTCCGAAAGATCCTGGGGGTGTAACTCAGGGGTACAGCACTTGCCTAGCATGTGTGGGGCCCAGGTTCAGTCACCAGCACCACACACACACACACACAAATCCTAAAACTGCGATATACAAGATCTAAAATGAGAAATCCACTGACTGGGGTTCGTGGCAGAGCAGAGAGATGAGAACAGTCAGGAAATCTGAAGCTAGATCAGTATCTATCATCCAACCTGAAAAGCAGACAATAACACAGTTCCAAAAATACAGCGTCTGCCACCAGCAGGACAGCGTCAAGTATCTGAAAGAAGACACAGCAGAAAACTTCCAATTCAGGAAAAGATGGGATTGAAGACAAGAGAAAATGAACAAGAAGATGAGAAAACACAAAAGGAAAGAACATGCTGAAAGAGAAAAAGAGAGAGAGAGAGAGAGAGAGATCAGGCTAGACTGAAGGCTGGAATCTGGGGGCATCTAAAATTCACCGAGCCACCTGTTGTCAGGACACACACATCCTCACTTGTATGGGAATTGGGTTGGGTTGGGTCACACAGCCAATTCTAAAAAGAAAGAGACTTTAAAGCTCTATGTAATAGTCAAGGGTGGTAGCTTGTGCCTGCAATCCCAGTACTCAGGAGGCTGAGGCAGGAGGATCGCCACGGTTGGAGGCCAGCCTGGGCTACATGGTGAGACCCCGTCTTGGAAACAAACAGTGGTGTTCTATGAAACAGCACAGAGCCAGGCTGTTGAGAATGACAGATGTGTAGTATCCACGTGTGTCTGTGTGTGTGTTCGTGTGCGTGTACAAATTCAGTCACTGATTTGGCAGGAGCACTGCTGACACCCCGGCCTAAATTTTCCACACTTAACCCTTCCACACTGCTCCTTCCAGACTGATCTGGAGAAGGCTGAATCCCCGGCTCCCCACTCCCTTCCCGCCGGCCCTGAGGCCCTGGCCCATGCCTGCTCCATTCGCCCCATCGTCCCCTCGGGGTCCACACCACTGCTGCCTGCGGCCCTCCTCCTCCACACCCCTGCGGCAAAGCCTTATGAGCTCCCTACCACGTCCGGGACAAAGACCCAGCTCCTTTACAAAGTGCTCTTCTGGGCCGGCTCTTCCAGCCACGGCCCACCCATCGCCTTCACTGAAAACAGTGAAGACCCCAGCCAGGCCGTGTGAACACAGAGGCAGCTGGGCACGCACCCAGCTTTCCCACAGCGGGTGTCTCTGCCTTTGCATGATGGGCCTTCCTCTCTGGGCGGGTATGGTTCGCGCACCTGTAATTCTAGCACCCAGGAGGTTGAGGCAGGAAGATCACTGTGAGTTCAAGGCCAGCCAGAGCTACATAGTGAGTTCACAACTACATAGTGAGACCCTGTCTCAAAAAACAAAAAAATAGCCTTCCAGCATGACCACCCCTCACTCACAGACAGCTCACCCGCCTCAGCTCCCAGGTACCATGTATCAGCCCTGGCCCAGCCCTGGACACCACCCAACCCCTGCCTCCCTGGGCCATGAGCTCCCCCAGGGTGGCCCGGGTCTGGTACATATGGGCCCCCATTGCAAGCATAGATGGGAGATGCTGATACCCTTGGATGCAAGGGTGCTTCCCAATACCAGATTCTAAACTGTAAGTTGACCAAATACTCTTTTTAAGAAAGCTTTCAAGAAAACAGAAACTAGACAGAAAGGACTGGCCCTGCTACATGCGAACTACGACCAAGCCAAAGGTGATCAGATGATCATCACCTCCACTTTGGCCAGAACTCAACTGAGGAATCAGGAGAAACGAGCCGGACGTCGGCTGCCTCTGGGACTGCGGAGGAGAAGCCTGAGGGGTCCCGAGCGGGCGCCCGCGCACCTGGGCCAGCAGGTCCTGGAACTGCTCCCGGGTGAGCGGGAGCAGGAAGGTGCCGATGACTCTCTTCAGCTCGCCCTTCGTCACCGTCAGGCTCCGGCCAGCGTCCAGCAGCTGGAAGGCTTTCCTCAACTCATCCTTTCTGTCGTTGATTTTTTGAAATAAAATCCGCTTAATGTCTAAGAAGGACAGCACCGGATTTTCAGCAGCTGAGGCTGTGAAAGGGCACACAGGGATTAATCAGAAACGTCTACAGTGAAGGGGCTAACAGAAACCGTCGCAAGGAACTGAGGGGCATTCTGTCTGTCTGCTAACTGTAGGTGTCCGTGGCTGATCGTTTGGTGTCCTGGACGTTACAGCACCTGAAAAATTTGGTACAGGATAACATGACATTGTGGGGGAAAAAACAAAAGACAAAGATAACCTCCCCTACCTGGATATTAGAAGAAAAACATTAATACTGGAAGCAAATGTAGCTAAGAATTACTAATGCTGCAATCAATCTTTAAAGGACCGCCTCCCCTCCCCTTTTTTTTGGTACAGGGACCTCCCACCTGCCAGGCAGGCCCTTGAGCTGTATCCCCAGCCTGGCCTTCCCAATTCTTGAGGTGAAAAGAAGTATGATTTTAAACCCAGATCATTGCCCTTCCTAAAACAGGAGGACTGAATCCCCAGACATGGAAGTCCAGTGTCCTCTAATCCTCACACAGGGCTTTGACTGGCCCCAAAGACGGTGTCCCGGCTAATGTTCTAGGTCAAGGGTCCGAGTATCCTCACTGGGAGGTGACAGCCCACGGGGCTCCCTCTCCACCATTTCAGACGAGAATCATCAGAACAAGTCAGCATGACGAGCATCAAACTGCGATTATCCATTCTGGCCTTCCACAACCGGTTAGGGAAGCGGGGCTGAGATTCGAGGTTGCTGGCAAAGCTCTCACATTCACAGTGCCTTTCTCACCCAAAGCAGGGGATGTATGTTACACAGCTTCCCTGCCACCTCCTTCCCCCTGCCCCAGCCCCGTTATTGACAGCAGAGCTGGAGCGGGGTGGCCTGTTGTTTCCTCTGGGATAAGAATTTCCAGCCTGAGGACAGTGATGGCTGTAGACTTGGGGTGTCCTGGATCAAGTCAGATCAGAGACCCAAGGACAGGATCTCAGTGTCCACCTGAGGCCACCCGGAAGGTGAATAGGGACCTCCGCACAGCACAGTGGGCAGAGCTGTGTCTTCTGACTGAGTAGTATGGGGGGGGGGGCGTCAGACTGGCACCCTGTCCCGCTGTACTGAGTGGCCACTAGCCCTGTCCTCCTGAGCCCAGTATGACCCAGGCCACAGCTGTGCAGGTCGCCCTCAGTCCCTGCCTCTCCTCACAGCCATGGAGGCTGAGGACACCAGGTCCCAAGGGGCTGGGGATGCCCCTCGCCCTCAGTGCCCACTGCCTCCTCCAGGGAGGTGGGCAGGGAACCAGAGCAAGGTGCTGAGGAGGAAAGATGGGCAGTAGGCGTCTCTGGGAAGCACTGGACACCCGGGAGAGGGGCTGGCTGGCGTGGGTGATGGGGTGGAAGCTCTTGGGGAAGCCTTCTCCGACCAAGATGGGGATACTTGGATGGCAACAGGGTCCCCCAGAGTGGGAAGGGGGCTGACAGTGGGGTGCAGACAGCAGTGGGGGAAGCAGCAGCTGCGAGGTGGAAGCATCCACAGGAGCCGAGGCACGGACAGGCCTGTCCTCAGCCTCCTGCCCGGGCAGCGAATCCAAAGTGGGACTTCCATGTAGAAACCCGCATCCGGTGACAGGGAGGAGGAAGAGCTTCGCAGTGCAGGCGTGTGGGTGATTCCAGCTGCTGGGCAGGCGCAACCCAGGCCTGTCCCAGTGGGGCGCTCACAGAGCAAAGAGCAGGGGTGAGCGACAGATGGGATTTGCCCTGCTGGGGAGGTAGCAGACAGACGATGGGCCGTGGGTGGTCGGGCAGGAGGCTGGTCACATCCCCGGCCGGGGCAGCATGGGAGACACAGCAGCTGCTGCGACTTCCGGGGCAGCCACGGCACGTGTGTCTTGCTTACCAGGTCCTCTTAATGCTCCTCCCCAAAAAGGCCGTGTGTGCGCGTGTCTCTTCGTCTGCCTTGTGCCTGTGACTAAGACAGAATGGGCCTGTGTCCCTGTGGAGTGGGGAATGTGTCGTTCCAGAACTGAACGTGGCGTTTCCAAGACGGAGCCATCAGAGGAACCCGGGCTCTTACAGTGCTCACATCCTGTCACCGCCTTGCAGGGAAGAAGCCAAGGAGCTACTCAGAGGCCACGTGGCAGTCTCAGTTCCGGCCAACAGCTGGTCTGGACATGAGCCAACAAGTGAGCCCACTGGCAGCCACGTCCAGGGTCCACACTTCATGCCTGGCCATGAGACCTGCCCATGCTGCCTGGAACAGAAGAAAGGTCAGTGTCGGAGCCCGGGGCTGTAGTCTGGGCTAGCTCAGGGCAGGTGTTCACTTTACAGCTGAGTCCTCCACCTGGAGATTGGAGGAGGCTGGGATTGGAGACGCGGTATGAAAGCCAGCAGCCAGCTGCCCACAGACACAGGGAAGTGTGTATCAGAGGGCGGGGCTCACAGGAGGCCCTAGAAATATCAGCTATACAGGAGTGCACCTGTCACCTTTCAGACACTGCCGTCGGCACAGGGGACCTCACAGCGGATAAGCAGACGCAGCCTCCAGTCCCCAGGTGAGAAGAGGGATAAGGGACAGAGACGTCCTGAAGTCCTCAGGAAATGGCAGACAGTGACACATGGGGTGGGGACAGCAGGACAGGTACCAAGTACGGGACAAGAGCACAGGAATGGTGGCGAGGGCTGTATGACACGAGAGGGGTCCAGAAAGTCCTCCCCAGGTCATTTCATAAGCTGAGACCAGGACAATTAGAAATAAACCACCAATCAAAAAGCAGAGATGGCGGGGCTGGGGATTTAGCTCAGCGGCATAAGCACCTGGCTTGCAAGCAGGCGGTCGTGAGTTCGATCCCTGGTACCGATAAAAACGAAAAAGACCAAAAAAAAAAAAAAAAAAAAAAAAAAAAAAAAGCAGAGATGGCAACATCCAAAGGGGGAGCCACAGCAACTGGCAGAGAGCCGCAGCACAAGTGAGCTCAGTGTCTCCCTGCCGGGATAAAATGCCCAACACTCACAAAGGAGAAAAGGTTTACCTTAGCTCACAGTCCATAACCAGCTGGCTCTAAGGCCGTGAGGCATGGTGGAGGAGCATCTGGGGTGACACAGTCCACGGCAGGGCAGGCAGGAGGCAGGAAGCAGCCGCCTCCCTTTCCCTTTTCATTCCCTTCAGGCTGCAAGCCTATTGGCTATTACCACCCACATCGGGGTTTTCAGTAGATCCATTCAGCCACACCTAGAATTGTGCTAATTTAATCAGTGCACTGATTCGTTTATCACATGCCCACAATCAGTCACCTCTGAAAAGCCCCTTCTATGAGTGTGGGAGGCTTTGGGGGGACACCTAGACACAAGCTGTAACACTCAGCATGTCCTCAGAGAGTGTGCACCATGAGGGAGGCAGGGCAGGAAGGACTGGTGGGGTCAGAAGGAAGCAACAAGCCCGCACAGTGGGACAAGCCCGAAAACCCACACTCTGAGAGGCCGAGGAAAGCAGACAGTGAATTCAGGCCCAGCCGAGGCAGCCCTGTCACAAAATTAAAAATGAAGAGGACCAGAGATGTGGCTCGTGAAAAGGCCCTCAGTTCAATCTCCCCCTCCACAAAGGAGGGAAGCGGTATTAGTGTATTTTCTACATCATTCTGGCTGCGATGAGGAGTACGGATTACAGAGGGCCGGAAATGAGGCAGGGGACAGAGAAGAGGATGCGCCCAAGGCCAGAGGTGGCAGCGTGGCTCAGGCCAGGTGGTCACCCTGACTGTGGACAGAGCAGGGATGTGGCCTGTGGGCTCCAGTGACGAAGTCTTAAAGGAACAAGATGAGACCAAGGAGAATGGTGCGGGGCAGGAGGGCCTCTGGCCCGCCCCTGTGAGCTGTCTGGTCAGGAGCGGCCAGCAGGAGGCCAGGGGCAGCCAGCATGTGTCCAGGTCTCGGGAGGCAGTCAGTGAGGAGCTCAGATGGTTTTCCAGGAGGTGGAGCTGGGGGTTCACCTCAGGAAAGGACAGGCAGAGACCCTGCACAAGGACCCGGAGGCTCAGGGAGGAGTAAAAGTCTCCCACAGCTTCGAGGATGCGGGGAATGGGGGCACCCGTGCTCCCCTCTCTCACCATCAGGTGGGGCCTACATCCCATAGACCCGCATCACACGGGCGCCCCCAAGCACAGGCCTCCGCCTGGGAACCTCCCTCAGACTCTGCAGACGTGGTCAGCTGCTTTCCAACAAGCCTCGTCTGCGCGATGTAACTGTCAGGTAAGTGAGGCAAAAAACATTGACTTGAAATTATGTGAAGTCTCTTGAAGGAAAACTACTTCACAAGGCTAATGCCATTTCTAAGGTCTTCTCATCCGCCTGGATTCCTCCAGCGTCCTACAGGGGCCCAGTCACCGCGGACCATCACTCTTGCCCTGACAAGCAGGGCAAGCTAAAAATAGACATGGTTTCCAAACTCATCAGAGACCCACGCCTGCAAAGAAACTCAGTCCCAGAAAGAAAGCCACACCTCAACCACCTGAGGGACACGTCCTTCTAACCCGCAGAGCAGCCACCGGAAAAGCAGGCCATGCAGGTGGAGGACGAGCAAGCAGACCAAGATCAGGCAGTCACTCGAGGCCGTGGAGGTGGTCTGAAATGCCAGGGCCTCGGCAAGGTGCACACCAGAGGTGGGGCGTGTGACGGGAGAGCTGTGTGACACACGCAAGGCCACAGGGTGCACACGAGCCAGGCGCTCGTCCCTGCGTAGGTGAAGAAAGCTGAGGCCAATCCCTCTGAAGCACACGGGGTCGTGGCAGAGTGAACACTGATGGCCAGCTGCAGGCTGCAGGCAGGAGACAGGGCGGACAGAGATCCTGTGACACATGGCAGCGCAGGGGCAGAGCTGGAGACCTAGGAGACCTCCCAAGAACCTCCATCGTGGGAGAAGGACTGGGGAGCAAAAGGCCATGTCCCCCAATACAGCAAGCTGGCAGCTGAGCTGGAACACAGGGGTCCCTGGTGTCGCAGGTGCCTGCCGAGGGAGGAAGGTGGGGCCAGGTGTAACCCGCGTCTAAGCACAACTGGAGCA